AGTTTTTTCCCTGTCCAACATAAGTGAGTAAAAATTATGATTTCTAGAGGAAAGAGACAAAACCTCCAGATAAGTAATAGAAAATGGCCTTGGGAGGCTGCAGCCTAGTTCTCTAGGATCACAGTTGCAGTGGAACCAATATATTGTGGGAAATCTTTGACTTCTCTTGAGGCAAAAGGGAGTCAGGAAATGAATAAAAGGATCCAATTCCAGAGCCCAGATGCTCATTTACTATGAAGTTTTTTGTAACCAAGCTTACAAAGTAATTCCTAAAGTTAAGAATTGGAATGTAAGTGATAATGATATAGTATAGTTCCAAATTTTTATTAAGTTATGTATTCATTTTTTATATATTTATATATTTTAAAATAGACTAAAAATATCATCCTGCCTTAAATTAACTTATCTTTTAAATTAGAAACATGAGGAGTCGTCACCTCACTGAAGATGTATATTATGAAAGGCGCTCGGGCGTGTCTCCAGCAGGGCAGGAGTATGAATATGTGGACTGAGCACCATAGTTTTTGGAGAATTAGACATGGTTATTAACTTGCACGGGGCTTGAAAGTCCACAAAACACACTCATAATAACCATTGCCTTTGCTTCTCCTGCAGACGTTGTGAAATGAGAGCACTTCAAAGATAAGACTAGGGACTCAGGGAAGTTAAGGGGCACTGTGAAGGTCACAAGGCTAGAGAATGGCTTGGCTGACTTCTAATTTCCAGTGCAGGAATCTTTTCATTAATTACATCATGCTGTACTTGAGGGGATGCTATGCTGATGAGCCTCTTGCAGAATACCGGAGTGCTTTTTTTTTTTTTTTTTTTTTTTTTTTTTTTTTTTTTTTTTTTTTTTTTTTTTTTTTTTTTTTTTTTTTTTTTTTTTTTTTTTTTTTTTTTTTTTTTTTTTTTTTTTTTTGAGACAGAGTCTTACTCTGTCGCCAGACTGGAGTGCAGTGGCACGATCTCAGCTCACTGCAGCCTCTGCAGTGGTTGGGATTACAGGTGTGGGCCATCATGCCCAGCTAAGTTTTGTATTTTGAGTGGAGTCAGGGTTTCACCATGTTGGCCAGGCTGATCTGGAGCTCCTGACCTCATGATCCACCCACCTCAGCCTCCCAAAGTGCTGGGATTACAGGCATGAGCCACCGCACCTGACTATACTGGCCTGTTTTTAAATAGCCTTGCTCATCATTCCAGTCTGGTTGGACAGGTGTGGTGAGCCTATTTCTAGTGCACGTGGTAGGTGTGGGTAGCTACTTTAGGTTCTTAATCTAAGGAGGTAGAATGGTGAGCATCTGTTTTAGGAAGAGGAGAGTAGCCTGAGAGTGGTATCCCAGTGTGTCTGATGTGTGCTAGAGTTTGAGAACCATGGAGTCAAAGCAGTCATAGGAATGCATTCTTGGAGAGTATTTCAGAATTCAGATCTGAAGTGATAAGAGTCTCAGTTAATGTGATGGCAGTGGAAATGAAGAAGAACGTGTGTGTCTGAGAGATAACTTGACAGAAGTCTTGACCATGGGGAAAGTTGCTGTCCTGGTCATTCCTTACAGAACACATGGTAGCCCTAGTGTTCTGCAGAGGAGTGTTAATTCCAGGTGAACATCATCGTAAACCACTCGGAAGAGCTGAGTATACCGTGTTCAGAGGTGCTGAGCTCCCACTTTGTGTATCTAAGTGGGGGTGTGTATAGTGTATCCTCCCAGGTGACAGTGTGGCCAGCTGAGATGCAGAGGTGGATGTTTGGCAAGAGGACTAGTATCTGTTCACAGTCTGTTTCCTGGTGATGAAGGATGAGCTGTAACCTTAGAGAGAATTGGTGGGAGGTAAAATGGGAACAGCTAATATTTGAAGGGAAGGGATGCTGAGAAAAGAGTGAGGATTTCTGAGCCAGTGTATTTCCTTTTGTTCAAAGAATAAAATTCACCCTCTCCGCCACTATGGTTTCTGGCTTTTGCCTGTTTTCTGTCCTCATTTTCTTTCATTCTCTGCCTTGCTCATCACGTTCCCAGTTTAGAATGCCCCCTCTGCCCTCAACCTAGATATTCCCATGGCTGGCTCCATTATACAGCGATTGGATGTCACCTTTTTGGAGAGCTTTTCCTGACCATCCTCATTAATGTTGGGCCTTCTCCCCACCCCTGCCTCCCCCAAAACCTAAGTTCTGTTCCAAACCACTTATCCCAATCAGGGATGACCCTGGTCAGTTCTTGGTCTGCTTGTGCAAATCTGCCCTCCCTTCTCCAGTAGAACGAAAGCTCTTTGAGAGCCTGGGATCCTGTGTCTCTTGTTCATTGCTGTATTGCCAGCACCTAGAAGAGTACCTGGCACATATTAGCATAAATATTAGTTGAAAGGACTCTAGGTAAAGATTTGATGAGGGGGAGCCGAGGTAGGCAATGGGGAAAGATGGGTCTATAGACCCCAGGCAACACCCGATGACTAACCTGTGCTGGACGGTAGAGATGACAAAGGATAAATTCAAGAGACGTTCAGGAGGTAACGCTGACAAAATTTGGTTATGGACTGGTACAGGAGGTATCAGGCAACTTTCTTGTGAAAAATCTTGCTGTGAGAGGTTTGTGAACTCCTAGCATTTTTATTTGATCTCTTCGTTCACTGGAAACTTAAGGGCAAAGCAATTCTTAGCCCTCCGTTAAGAGCTTGTCTTGGTTCTACTCCATCCTAGAGGAGGTGTCTCAAACTCTAGGCATGAAGAAGTCTCCGTTTCTCCTCCGAACAGTTGTATCCACCCATTCACCACTCAGCAATATTTTTTGAGCATGTAATATGTTCTAGGTATTGTCCAAGGCACTGGTGCACAGGAATGACTAAAACAACCTCCTTGCATTTATGTTCTAGAGAGGGAAGACAGACAAGCATGTCTACAAATGCGACACACACAAAATACTTTTGGATGGTAATAATGGTGGAAGGAAAAACAGTGAGACAGGATGGGAGGGGGTCAGCCAGGCTGCTCTGCATTAGCTGAGATCTGAATAACAAGGAGGAGCCATGAGAAGACCTGCGAGGGGAAGGCGTTCTGGCATTGCCCTCAGAACCTACTCCTGCTAGAGGAGTCACTGAAGGGGCACTTTGCTTTCATGTCTTAAAGAATGAAATTAAAGAGGTTGGTGGGATGGAAACTCAACTTCAAATACTTATCAAGTTTATGTATTTATTTTTATTTCATTTCATTTATTTATTTAGTTAGTTTTTGAGACAGCGTCTTGCTGTGTTGCCCAGCTGGAGTGCAGCGGCATGGTCTCGGCTCACTGCAACCTCTACCTTCCAGGTTCAAGCAGTTCTCCTGCCTCAGCCTCCTGAGTAGCTGGGATTATAGGAGTGCAACACCATGCCCAGCCCAGCTAATTTTTGTATTTTTAGTTGAGATGGGGTTTCACCATGTTGGCCAGGCTGGTCTCAAACTCCTGACCTCAAATCATCCATCCGCCTGCTTTGGCCTCTCAAAGTGCTGGGATTAGAGGTGTGAGCCACCGCACCTGGCCCATTTTATTTATTTACTTTTTTGAGATAGAGTTTCGCTCCCGTTGCCCAGGCTGGAGTGCAATGGTGCAATCTCGGCTCACTGCTCCTCTGACTCCTGGGTTCACGTGATTCTCCTGCCTCAGCCTCCTGAGTAGCTGGGATTACAGGCATGTGCCACCACACTCTGCTAGTTTTGTATTTTTAATAGAGATGGGGTTTCACCATCCTGGTCAGGCTGGTCTCAAACTCCTGACCTCAAGTGATTCACCTGCCTCGGCCCCCAAAGTGCTGTAATCAGTCACCATGCCCGGCCCCATTTTATTTTTTTGAGACAAGGTCTCTATCGCTCAGACTAGAGTACAGTGGCATGATCATGGCTCACTACACCACAAACTCCTGAGCTCAAGCGACCCTCCCACCGCAATACCTGTAGCTGGGATTACAGGCACACACCACATGCCTGGCTTTTGAAAAAAACTTTCTTATAGAGACGAGTGCTCACTCTGTGGCCCAGGCTGGTCTTGAACTCCGGGCCTCAAGTATTCCTCCTGTCTCCGTCTCCTGAAGTGCTGGGCATGAGCCAAACATGCCTGCTGGTTTATTTCTTATCAGCATTTTTGTTTACCAAATCATCCTACTGCTCATTTACTTACTGAAATATTGCCCTTTTACAGGTCGTTACACAAAACATTTTAGAGATGGCTTTAAAGAACAAAATTTCTCTCAATCATAAGTGATTAATATAATTTTGAAAAAAGGATAAAATCATGACTCATATAGATACAAAAATGAACATGTTAAGGATTTTATTTAATCACTGATTAATTATTAATTATAGATGAGGACATTTGGCAGATGTTATAACAAATTCAAAGGAGAAATCAGAACAAATTTCTGTGAAGTAAAGTATTGTTGAAATTAATGTGCAAATCCAGGAAAACTAACTTATTCCACAGCTGGGGAGGGAAGTTAGTTGAGCCTCTACTGGCCAGGCAAAATTAACACGCCTATAGACAACAGTTATTTTGCACTGCTATTAGTTATCTACAATTTACAGAGTTGTAAGCTCCCTGGGAATCAGAATCTAATTACCTGTAGAGATCTCCTCTGGCGTCTCGGCAGTGCATGGTTTTCCAGTGAAGCACGTTTTTTTCCCCATGTATAACCAGACTAAAATAAAATAGTCTCCCTCTCCTCCATGTACAAAAGTGTGGAATTCCTACCCTTACGGTCTTTGAAGCAGTGGGGAAGGGAACTATCATTTATTTAGCGCCTGCTGTGAGCAGCATTTGTCAGTTTACCTCATCTTCACAGCAGCCCCACAAAGTAGGTGTTGGTCTTCACGTTTTACAGATAAGAAAATTGAGACTCAGGGATCTTATAGACAGTAAGCAGCAAAGTTAGAATTCCAGCCTGTCCTGTCTCCAGAATCCACATACACACACTCCCTGGGGACAACTTGTTGATGGTAAAACTACAGAAATTCTCTGTGTTTTTTTCTTGATCTTTAGTTCATCATCAACCAAGGTGGATCTCAAGAGTGGCCTCGAAGAATGTGCTGTGGCATTGAACTTATTTCTAAGCAACAAATTTACAGATGCCTTAGAATTGCTTCGCCCCTGGTAATTTACTTTGTGTCTTTTAGATAAAATATCTTTCAGATGTTTCTGATGATTCTTTGATGTCATGCTTGTAAATTAATTTATCTGTTCCCATCTGAATATTGATAAGCTAATTTAGTTCAGACCTCCTTACTTTGGTCACTTTTAAAATTCAGTTTAGAAATCTGAGTTTTCAAATATAATCAGTAGAAAATTCCTGATTGTTTTGCATATTTTAATCTCTCTTGTTCAGGTATTGTCATCTTATAAGTAGTTTTATAAGGCTTCAATTTTGCTTTCTTCAGTGAAATATTTTTATGTTTGTTCCTTTTAAATATTGAAAAAAATTTCCTTTGAAATGGGGAGGGGAAGAACCAGAATATGCTGATCTCAATGCTAAAAAGAAATTTAAGATAATAAGAATATTACTGGGGTTCTCTATTTGTTCGACAAACAAGTTAAGCAATTTAATTTCAATTAATAGTACCTGTTAAGTTTTCAGATGTGGCAATAAAACCTGTGCTTGCCTGTTTACTCGGTCTTTATCTTGACAATAGTCTTACATTGTGCCCTCAAACACTTGTTTAGATGAAGCTTAGACCTCATATAATAATTTCCTAGAAGTTTACTTTGGCACAAAAGTGGGCAATCTCATTCCTTACTTTGAGTGGTTACTAAGGTGACTGGATTCTGGTCATCTGAATCTTAGAGATTAATTGACCTGCTGAGGAGCTGCTATGGAAATTCTGTTAAGATTTAGAATAGCTGTAGTCAAGGTGGGTCAGCTGTCATTCCACAGGTTAAGAACAAATGATGAAATCGATGGTGAAGCCCTGTAGTCTAAGGAAATCTTTCAGTGTTGTCTTCAATATTTGCCTCACAATCTCCACCTTGCCTGTCCCATGCTTTTTTCCCTCTGTCCTTCTCAGTCCCTCAGACTTCTCTGTCTTCTGTCTCTACCTCCTTTTGTCTGCTTGTCTTTCCCTCTCTCTTGGTCTCTCCTGTGTCTTTTCTCAGCCTGCTTGCCTGTCTTCTTTGGGTTTTTGAATGTTTTTATTGATGAGCCATAGTTGTACCTATTTTTGGAGTACATGTGATAATTCCTTACCTGTACACAATGTTCAATGATCATCAGGGTAATTGGGTTATCCATCACCTCAAACATTTATCTTTTCTTAGTGTCAGGAACATTTATAATTATTCTCTTCTAGCTGTTTTGAAATAACAATAAATTATTGTTAATTATAATTTATTATGAAATACTAGAAGTTATTTCTTCCATTTAACTGTATTTTTGTACCCATTATCTCCTTTGATTTTTATTCAAACAAGTCTTTCTCTGCCACTGACACACAGCTGATCATGACATGGGATGAAAATAAACGATTTAGTGTTGTATTCAGTCAGGTTCATCTCTGGGTTTTATACATGTTTCACTGTTTAAATGGCTTAGGCCTGTAATCCCAGCACTTTGGGAGGCTGAGGCAGGCGGTTCACCTGAGGTCGGGAGTTCGAGACCAGCCTGACCAACAGGGAGAAACCCTGACTCTACTAAAAATACAAAAAATTAGCCGGGCATGGTGGCACATGCCTGTAATCCCAGCTACTCGAGAGGCTGAGGCAGGAGAACCACTTGAACCCACGAGGCAGAGGTTGCGGTGAGCCAAGATCGTGCCATTGCACTTCAGCCTGGGCAACAAGAGCAAAACTCTGTCTCAAAAATAAATAAATAAATAACTAATGCTTTTCCCTCATTTGAAATAATTTTTTTTTTCTTCTTGAAAGAGCTTTCAGTTAAAAATGTGAGGTTTGAAACCACAATTAATGATTAACTTTGAGCTGCTCTGATTCCTTGTGGTTCTTTTGAACAGATAGTGAGTGCCCTCAATGTTCAGGACAAGCTGCAAATTACCAAAGGATGTTTAGACTATTTCCGTGGGGGCAAAAAATAATGTGGCTTGTATTTGTTTCACATGGCAGCAGGCTGTTATGCATTAATATTTAAATTAAAAACAAAACCATGCATTAGCATTTTAAACCTTATAAATAATTAATATAGCTTAAGAAGTTTTGAGAAAATAAATGATGTTCTCACAGCCCGAGAATCTGGATGTCTGCTATCCGTTAGGAGTCATTAACATCCTTAAGAATCCTGAAGCAGTTCTCACTGTAACTTGATGATTTGAACTATCAAGAACTTTAATCAGGAATTTCAGATAATGGGATTAGACTAGATATAAGGTCTGACATCTACTTTGGTCATGGCTCTTGTGACCAGCCTAACTTGTTCCAAAATCTTGTTTGCTCTTGGCCTTTGGCTGGAGAGGAGAGGAATTACTTTAAATGAGCCTTTATTTTTGAAAAAACATATCGGAATCTCTCTGTCAAAAAATGCATTTCCAGCGGCCTTTATTTTAGCGCTTATTTCAGAGCCAAAGGTGGTAGCATGCTGCCCTCTTTTCAACTGAAGACAGTTGGTTTGCTTGGAATCTGCCGGCAGGCTGCCCTCTTGTGTTGAAATAGGGAAATGCATATTGTCCCCTTCAACCTGGAACATTTTTTTCTGCCTGTGTGGGTTTACATTGGAAAGTCCTTGGTACTTGAGTTTTTAAGAGGTTACTTTTCACCACCCATATAATTTTGGTGATTATGGTGAAGGAATAAAGGTTACTGTGCAAGTCAGAACATGCATTTCCTAGGATTTCTTATGATCAGTATTTCCATTGAATTAAAATGTCTGAATTCCCTGTTTTCTCCCCAGGGCTAAGGAGAGTATGTACCATGCTCTGGGCTACAGTACCATTGTGGTGTTGCAGGCTGTCCTGACCTTCGAGCAACAGGACATCCAAAATGGCATTTCTGCCATGAAGGACGCTTTACAAACCTGCCAAAAGTATGACGAGTCATTCAATACTTGAGATGTGACTGCAAACTTTTATGCCTGTGTGACAAAAATAATGTCATTTGCCTGACCAAGAGCTCTGTGTTTGAAATTGGCCACAGTTACAGAAAAGAAATTCAGCCTCGAAGCTGAAGGATTCCCATTTGGCATCTATATATTCCACTTTTCTTTTTGATAATCTGGGGTCTGAGCTACAGAGATCTGGGGGGGATTTCTGTGGGATTAGCAGCAAGCATCTCTCAAGGTAGATGACATTAGGTACTGCACGCCAAACCAAGCCACGCAAGGAATGTTTTTGTTTTAAGTGGGAGATGCAAATTCATGAGGGAATGTTTTATTTGTTTAAGAAGGACCTCTTTTTGAACACTTTTGTTTGGTGAAAATGAGATAGAGTTTTAGTTTTATTTTAAGCTTTACCCTGTGTGTATAGGAAGACCGTATCAAAATTTTTTTTCAAGGCAAAAGTAATTTTGATATCTTTTAAAAAATGATAAATGTTTCACAGTATGGGAGATGCTTGGTTTGTAGACATTTGGGAATATTCAAGAATCCAGGAATGGCTGGCTGCGGCACCCTGAGCAAATGGATGGGAGGAAATGACTGCTGTTGCTGTCAATTGCTTGATGTGCCGCTGGGACTAGGGCAGAAGGTTCATGATCAGAAGGTTAACATGGGTGAAATTGCATCCTGATATAATGGTGTTGTAAGCTCCTCAAATGAAGAGAGCTTCCAAATATTGCACTTTAACTTCATTTTTCACCTGTGGAGAATTTTACACAAATCCTGGTTTTAGTTATCAGGATAAGGGAAGGTTAGTTTTCACTGGCGTGTGTGGGTTTCCCCACTTGGTGTTCAGTAACACAGACTGAGTTCCCGCAAGTGGCTAGCCAGTGCTGAGTGTAGAGTGTTGGAAAAGGATGATCTGTGTCCTACAGACTTCAGGGTTTAGAGTTTCAGCTTTTTGACTCTTTGGTGTGATAGTGACTGAAATGAATGGCAAATGAAAATGAGCTTAGCCTGATTTTTTTTTTTTCTATTTTCTATCTCCCTTTTTATTTACTCGATGTAGATACAGGAAAAAATACACAGTTGTAGAATCTTTCTCAAGTCTTCTTTCTAGAGGATCCCTGGAGCAACTGAGTGAAGGTAAAAGTCATTTAAAAGATAACTTTTTTCCTTGATTTTAAAAGTTAAAAAATGATCATCTCATAAAATTCCATACTGAAGTGTATAAAGTCAATGGAATGTCTTTTTCTCTTCTCTATCATACTGATCTTCCAAAAGTAACCATTGTTAATAGTTCATTGTAAAGCCTTTTCTGCGTACGTACTCAAATACATAAATAAGGTACACATAGGGTTTTTGTTGTCGCTCATGGATTGTTCTTTTTTTTTTTTGCAAGCATAAAATCACATAATAGGTGTAAATTTGACATTGACACTTTCCCAGGTCTTTACATGTGCGTGTTTAACAGCTGTGTGATATTCCACAGGATTGATGTATTGTGCACCAAAATTGGATTTTCTCTATTGTTTTTATTTTTTCACTGTTACAAATAATGGTGTCCTAGAATCCTTATACATACAGATTCATGCATCTTGAAAAGTTATTTCATAAGATAGATTTGTAAAAGTGGAATAACCGGGACTGGCAGTTTGAAAAGTTACAATATTTATAGGTATTCCCAGTTTTTTTCTCCAAAGGTGTAGGTCAGTTTATATTCTTACCATTCATCTGTGAGAATTTCAGTTTTCCACAAGCTATTAAAAATTTTTTTCAAGGTGAAAGTAATTTTGATATCTTTTAAAAAGTAATGTTTCACAGTATGGAAGATGTGTGGTTTGTGTACATTTAGGAATATTCAGGAATCCAGGAAAGGTTGGCTGCGGCACCCTGATCAGATGGATGGGAGGAAATGACGGCTGTTGCTGTAAATTGTTTGATGTGCCCCCTGGGACTAGGGCAGAAGTTTCATGATCAGTTCTGTCTTTACAGTGTTACACTCTAGTCCAGAATAGTTTACAAGAAAGAAGCATCTAGATATTCCTGTAGAAGGAAAAAAAAATGTCCTTCAAATGTGATCATTGTAGAATAAAGCTTTTGCCATCCCAGGAGAATCTCTGCCTGTATTGTCATTGTCAAATGTGTTATCTGAAGAGGTGACACAAAATACTAGAATATACCATACTAGAAAACACAAAATACAAAGCTACTAGAAGTAGCTTTGGTTGATTAGAGCAAGAGCAGTTCTGGATACTGCTGTCAGAGTAGTTTCTAATGGTCAAGTATATGTCAGACGTATTTTTGAGGGTGTTTTATTAGGAAGTTTTGTTTATTTTGTTAGATGAGTATTATCAACTTGTTTTGGACTTCGGAGAACTTGGGAACATGTGCACGATGTGAAGCTAGAGTATTGATTGTAGGAGGGGAATTATGAGACATTTCACATCTTTGGGACTTATTTCAAAGGGGCATGATGTTGACCCCAAAACCATGGTCAAACAGAATGGCATTTCATTGGTCACACTAGGCAGCTGAAACTTACATCTTTTTCTCCGGAAACTGACCCCCAACTATTTGTAAGAATTTATCCCCTTGACTTCGGATAGAATGTGTCTACATATCTTCCCTCTTTGGGCTACTTATGTAAATTAGTTCCATTAGATCTAAAGTTCACTAAAGTGGGTTAATAAGAAATCAAATAGGCCCAAAAGAAATTGAACTATTTTGTTGTATTCTCCTTTCTGTTACCCTCTCTATGGCTTCCCTCTAGTGGCTACTCAGGAGGCTGAGTGAGGCAGGAGAGTTGCTTGAACCCAGGAGGCGGAGGTTGCAGTGAGCCGAGATCGCACCACCGTACTCCAGCCTGGACGACAGAGTGATACTCTGTCTCAAAAATAATAATAATAATTTGAAAAATAAGATGCTCCTTTTTTTTTTTTTTTTTTTTTTTGAGACAGAATCTCGGTCTGTCACCCAGGCTGGAGGACAGTGGCACAATCTCAGCTCACTGCAAGCAAGCTCAGCCTCCCGGGTTCACGCCATTCTCCTGCCTCAGCCTCCCGAGTAGCTGGGATTACAGGTGCCTGCCACCACGCCCGGCTAATTTTTTGTATTTTTAGTAGAGACAGGGTTTCACCATGTTAGCCAGGATGGTCTCAATCTCCTGACCTCGTGATCCTCCTGCCTCGGGCCTCCCAAAGTCCTGGGATTACAGGCATGAGCCACCGCACCCAGCCGATGATCCTCCACTTTTAAAAAGCGTTCTGTATGTGCTATATACTGTCCTTGTTGCTTTTCTTAACATTAACCTGTCTAACCTCCTTGTTATAGACTTGGAACTGATCAGAGTTATAAACAAATGACCAGGATTCCCCACCTAGCAGAGTAGGGTTAACTGATCATTTGCCTTTCCCTAAGCCACAACTCTTTCCACCGTAACCCACACTTTCTCCTTTAGGCAAGTAGAGAAGGGCACGAGATGTGTCATATATGGATAAAGGAAATATTGAATTATTTCTGTGTTAGTCATCTTGAAAATAGATGATACTGTGTTGTTATGTTTTTATAATGTCTTTGAACAATGGCACTTTAGGAAATCTGCAATAAAGTAGAAAATTACTTTTTACTAATTATAAAAAATAGTCTGGGCATGGTGGCTTGTGCCTATAATCCCAGCTACTCAGGAGGCTAAGGTGGGAGGATCCCTTGAGCCCAGGAGGCAGAGTGTATTAGTCCATTTTCATACTATTATAAAGAACTGCCCAGGACCGGGTAGTTTATAAAGGAAAGAGGTTTAATTGACTCATAGTTCTGCATGGCTGGGGAGACCTCAGGAAACTTAAAATCATGGCATAAGGTGAAGAGGAAGCAAGGCACCTTCTTCACAAGGCAGCAGAAAGGAGAAGGGCATGTAGGAGGAACTGTCAAACACTTACAAAACCACCTGATCTTATGAGAACTCACTCACTGTCATGAGAACAGCATGGAAGAAACCAGCGCCATGATCCAAACATCTCCCACCAGGTCCCACCCTTGATACGTAGGGATTATGGGGATTACAATTCAAGATGAGATTTGGGTGGGGATGCAAAGCCTAACCATATCACAGAGGTTGCAGTAAGCACAGATCATGCCACTGTACTCTCCTCTGGGTGACAGAGCAAGTCCCTGTTTCTACATAAATAAAAATAAAGTAAAGTAATATAAACTAAAATAAAATAAACTAATATACTTGTGAGTATAGCCTATTATGAAATACAGGTTTATTTAGACTTTCATATCTAAAGGCAATGCTTAGCTAACATTATTTCACTGCATCATGAAGATATTTACTCCTGTGGACTATGGAATTTACAATTAAGAGATATTCTGGTAATTACCCACTCATAAGTACCTAATGGCTAATTTTGAGAACTAAAGAACTATGCAGTGTAAATCAAACACAGTGAAAGAGTAAGACTTTTATAAATTAAGCTGTATTTTATTCTTAGTGAGTTTGGCTGTCAACTGCAACCCAAACAGACTTTGTGTTCAAGGGAGCATGTCAAAACATTGTAGCTTTAGTGTGTGATTTGTTTTTCCTCTTGGTAATTTTCATTTACATCCTTGAGTGTCTGGTTGTCTACAGGAGTGAGTATATTTCATTAAACTTTTCATGGGTTTAACGTGGAACATACTAGTTTTTTTCTCTTGTGGCTGGCGGATTGCCCCAAATGGGTTTCAAATGGCCTTTACAGATATTTATATGCAGTGAGTGCCTAGGATGTGAAAGGGATTTAATATGACAGATACTTATTTGTGGAATGCAAAGTTCAAACTCTCATGCCTTTTCTGTTTGCCTTGTCACATCCCTGTGCTGCTCTTAAATGTGTTCATCTTTCACTTAACCCTGATCTGCCCACCTGTCTGCTCACATCTCTGAAAGGACTGACTCACTGTTGCCTCCTCAATCAACTGTAGACTCTAACATTCAAGGCCATTTATAATTGAGCCTTGACTTAACCCTTCCAGCCTCATTGCTGTCTCCTCCCTTGACTGGCTTTTCCTGAAGGTGCTCTGGGCTTTCCTTGCTCCTGTTACCGGCCCACTCCCCTCTGCCCCCCACCCACCACCACCATCACCACCACAGACTTCATCCCCTCTGCATGTACCCCAAGCCAGCAATCTGTATTCCTGAGCAGACTTTCATAGCTAATAATTCCTGATTCTCACTCTGTCACAGAATTACCTAGGAAGAGGATATTCAGGTGACTCTGTAAAAGTAAGTTACCAGTGGGTATCCCACTGAACACAGCTAGAAAATCACCAGGCACACTTTGAGGAGAGGTGTTTTGAAGGACTGAGACCCTGCTGTGTGCATGCAGGCTGTAACTCCTCAAGTTTGGTCTGTCGTGACTTTGGCCCCATCTCTCTGTGCGCTGTTGAAGACCTTAGCTGCAGAGGGGCTTCTTTGTAAATTAAACATTTGGAATATGAGCATGGCAGGAACTTGAACCAATTTGTGAGAACCAGTGGGTTGTATGTGTGTATAGGGTGGGGTCTATAAGTGCAAGAAAGTACTTGTTGTCATCTAAGTCTATTAGCAGTAATCCCAATAATACAGAAATACTCTATTTTCAGTCACATTCCACATAAAAATGCTTTCTGAGCTTTTATCAAAAAGCAGTGACATAGATCAAGGGCAGTAATCTCAGTGCACATAGCTAGCATTGATCCAGTGCTAACTCTGTATCATGAGCTCTGTGTGTAGTACCTCATTTGATCCTTCAGCTGTGAACCAGAGGTGGTGTTAGTGGCCTTTATAAATGAGGAAACCAGCAGAGAGGGGATGAGGTCCTATAGCCAGTACATGGCAGAGCGTTTTTAGCAGCCCAGGCTCTTAAATACCCCAGGCTCATTTACTTAAATATCATGCCAATTTGCATCTCATGGATAGAGCAAGAATCTGCTGCCTTGTATATGGAAAAAAGTAAAGATTTATCTCTCCATTCTCTGCAAGTATAATGGGTTGTTGGGAAGCTAGGGTATGTGTTTTGGGATACTCCACAGGCCCCTGGGATGCACAGAGCCCCACCTAACCCCTTTTTGAGAGTACCTTATTCTTGTGCTAGACATCTACATGATCAAGTTAGCCTAAAACTGGGATAGTGCTGTCTCTTTTTATATCAGATCTTCACATATGAGGAGTCTTAACATGGCCATGCAGGACGTTTCTTTTTCACTGAGCTCTAGAGAATTGCTGCTTTCTTTTCAGGTAGTTAATGTGTCTGGTTAGTGTCATGGTTACCATATCTTTATATTTTAGAAGCTAGCATTCATACATTTAATTTAGTTTTTTTCAACTTTTAAAACTATGTTAAAGTTGTTTTGTTGTTTTTTTTTTTTTTTGAGACAGAATTTTGCTCTTGTTGCCCAGGCTGGAGTACAATGGCGCAATCTCAGCTCACCACAACCTCCACCTTGCAGGTTCAAGCGATTCTTCTGCCTCAGCCTCCCAAATAGCTGGGATTACAGGCATGCACCACCACACCTGGCTAATTTTTGTATTTTTGGTGGAGACGGGGTTTCTCCCTGTTGGTCAGGCTGGTCTCTGTCTCCTGACCTCAGGTGATCCACCCACCTTGGCCTCCCAAAGTGCTGGGATTACAGGCATGAACCACCGGGCACAGCCAAAGTTTTATGTTACTAATTAACTTAAAAAATAAGTGGTTTCCTTTTTTTTTTTTAAAGTGCTTTTAAATGTTAATTTCCACTTGTGAGCTGAGTTTGGGTCTCTGATACGAAGTGACTGACTCTTCGCAGTTATGTTTGAATGGGGATGACCTCCCTGAACACTTCACACATTCCAGGAAAATCTTCCTGACAAAGTGAGAACTGGGGCTATCATTCTGCTTTTGTGGAAGCACAAGGGCCATCTAAGTTTTGGGGTCTCTTTTGGGTTAATTTATCTGCCAGTCTTTCCTGAGCATCACAGAGCAATCACTTTGGATGTGGGATTTTACTTAATATAATTTTATTTGTTTTTCGTAGAGGAAATGCATGCTGAAATCTGTTACGCCGAGTGTCTCCTACAGAAAGCTGCACTCACGTTTGTGCAGGTAATGAATATTTGGCTTAGAATTTATATTGGCTGGGAAGACAGCCAGTGCTGCATAGAAAAATGTGGTGCATTCTATGTCAAAGCTTCAGTTCTTTTGACTTAGAGTTGTAATGGCAAATATTTGTTATTCTGATAAACTTTGGCTGAAAAAAGATGCTAGAGAGCTTTGTTCTTCCTTTACTGCACTTAAGAATCTATTTCAAATTGCACTCCACTGGGAATCATTGCCCTTTAAAGACTGTGCCTTTAAAGAAACTTTAGGCTAGGCGCGGTGGCTCATGTCTGTAATCCCAGCACTTTAGGAGGCTGAGGTGGGCGGATCACCTGAGGTCTGGGGTTCGAGACGAGCCTGGCCAACATGGTGAAACCCCGTCTCTACTAAAAATACAAAAAAAAAAAATTAGCCAGGTGTGGTAGCCAGGCGTGGTGGCACATGCCTGTAATCCCAGCTACCCAGGAGGCTGAGGCAGGAAAATCACTTGAACCTGGGAGGTGGAGATTGCAGTGAGCTGAGGTCGCATCACTGCATTCCAGCTTGGGTGACAGAGCAAGACTCCGCCTCAAAAACAAAAAAGAAACTTTAAAGAAACTGCTTTGCAACTGCCACATCTAATTTTAAGATGCATCTGTGTGGAAACCGGGAGAATATTCCGCTTTGTACTTTCTACTGGTAGAGGCCGCACATGGGAGTGGCCTGGGCAGAGGAAGTGCCCCGTTTTACACCACTTGCCTCAGTGAAGTTCAGTTAGGCATACATGGAAAGTTCATGTACACTTCAAATTTTATTTTTCCCCTTCTTTCTGTATTCTAATTTCCCTTTCTTTTATTTCTTCCTTTGGAAAAACAGTTTTTTAAAAGTCACTAAACAATTAATCCTTTTCTTATGAGGCATTTTAATTTCACCTCTGGGAATTGGTACAGTCAGTACCTTGCCTATTTCTGTATCTTCCAATGCTTCTCTAAAACATAAATCTTCACATAATGGCTTCATGGGTGGCAGTGATGGCTACAGTGAGAGTGAGGTGGAGTAGAGAGTGTAAGAAATCAGAAAGAAATTCAACTGTAAAATGGAAAATCTTCCTCAATCACAATCTTTTTTTTTGTTGTTGTGGAGGGGTGTGGGGTGGTTAGAGCCTCATTCTGTCACCCAGGCTGGGGTGCAGTGGCGTGATCTTGGCTCACTGCAACGTCTGCCTCCCGGGTTCAAGCAGTTCTTCTGTCTCAGTCCCCCGAGTAGCTGGGATTACAGGTGTGCGCCACCACACCTGGCTAATTTTTGTATTTTCGGTAGAGACAGGTTTTCACCATATTGGTCAGGCTGGTCTCGAATTCCTGACCTCAGGTGTTCCACCCATTTCAGCCTCCTGAAGTGCTGGGATTATAGACGTGAGCCACCATGCCTGGCCACAATCTTAAATTATTTGGCAGTTGCTTCTTTCTTTTCATGGAGGTTTACCTCTTAGGTTGGATTCTGGTTTAATAAAACGGAATCACTGTAGCCCATGACCCTGTTTCCTAAAACATAGACGTTACAAAGGCTGGTTGATAACAACGATCTTATTGCCTCAGTAAGCATCATAATGATAGTCATGGAGGCCCAAGTTTTTTTCTGTTTTCCAAACAGGGATTTGGCAATCAAATCTGGGATTTGGAGGCTTATTTTATGTTTGCGGACTTGAAATTAAAGAGATATCCATATTTGTGCCCTCTTCCTCATGCCTCCCACCCAATCATTTTTATATTCATGCTGCTTTAGCCTTTTAAAGATTGTGCAACTCCATCTCTTTCTGTCATTGTTCTAGAAGAGGTGCTTATCCACTCTTTGCTGAACTGTACAGCAACCTAGTGACTCTCCCTCTCTAATTTCTTTTACCTTCAGCTCATTCCCTATTCTGCAGTTGAGGGTTGAGTACCCTCTTAAAAACGAGTCTCTGACTTGGTCACTTCTCTGCTTCAGCATTCAGTAGCTCTTACTGACTGTGGCAGTATTCTGTATCAGAATATCAGAAATGAAGGGGGTGCTTTTTCAAACAAAACTGGTACCTCCTCTCTATGTTCCCTTACCGCCCCCGCCCCTGCCAACACACACACACCTTACAGGTGTCGTTGGATGCCACTGACAGGGTTGCATATTGAGTAGCATGGCTGGAGGTAGCTTTCTTAACTCCTTGGTCATTCTCTTTGCAATAGATTCTTCAGCAGTGTGGAATTACATATGCACACGTGGCCAAACCCATCATGATCCTGAATGCCGCCCCGTCTTTCCACTTGAGTTTTACTTTGCTTACAAAGTTCACATCTGCTTTGCCTTTCTATACCTGGCCAGTTTCTAATTATTTTTGTGCTTAAAGCACCAATGCTTCCAGGAGGGATTTCTGGCCCTCTCCATGCTACTACTTTGTGTTCTCATGACATCCTGTGCATGATCCCATCCCCGTGCATGACTCCGTCCCTATGCCTGGCTCCTTCTCCACACATGACGCCTTCCCTTAACATACTGTATTACTTTCATCTGTTTTTGCATTTGGGTGCCTGGTATAAAATAGGCATTAAATTTAAGTTTGATGAATCCTGAAATGAAATATGGTTTTTTTTTTTCGAGGCATATTTCAAGCTAATTTAAGAAATTCTTTTCTGGTTGGTATTGGATCTTATGTAATCATAAGATTCCTTAAATTAAGAAGATAAACATTGAATTTCATATCTATTGATTCTTATAATAATTAGAACAATAAATATTGAAGCAATTAATGAAATTAGTAAATGAAAGTCAGTTTTTCTTTTGCTACAGGAGGATGCTTAAGTATATAAGAAATACATATCAGAGCATTTACTTTTTACTTTTTTTTTTTTTTTGAGATGGAGTCTCGCTGTGTCATCAGGCTGGAGTTCAGTGGTGCGATCTCGGCTCACTGCAGCCTCCGCCTCCCAGATTCAAGTGATTCTCCTGCCTCAGCCTCCTGAGTAGCTGGGACTACAGGCACCCGCCACCATGCCTGGCTAATTTTTGTATTTTTAGTAGAGATGGGGTTTCAGCATGTTGGCCAAGATGGTCTCGATCTCTTGACCTCGTGATCCACCCGCCTCGGCCTCCCAAAGGGATTACAGGTGTGAGCCACTGCGCCCGGCCAGAGCATCTTTCTGATATGAATAGACTAGAAAAACTTTCTCTCTGGAAATGCAGAACATAGGACTGTCTCCACTAGCACCATCTATTAGAGTAACTTCCTTCAAGTAGTTATTTGATGTAATTTATTGAGAGATTGTCTTAGAATCTTAGAATGCTGACCCCGAAAACGCCATTCATCCAGGCCAACTGCCTCAATTTTATTGTCGATGACCATCAGATAAACAGAACTGAAGTGGTTTTGTTTTCCTAAAACAAAATTGCATAGTAGTGACAGCCACTTCAGAAACCAGACCAGTTATTTTGGGCCTGGAAATGTGTATGAGTAAAATTCACAACATTAAATAGACTCTGACTGCTAAAGTACTCTGTGAAAGAAGGACCATTGTCCCCTTTACTGGGTGTAATGTACTGGAAGGTTTGGCCTTAGAGCAGATTGCAAAGTCATCCAGTTTAGATTCTGTTAAACCCACAAGAAAATAGCTCGGTAGATGTCGATGTTTATTAAAATAATTTGGATCACATATGGGCCCTAATTGGTGAGGATTACCTCCTTAGTAATATAAAATAATTGAAGGATTTTACAAGTATTTTCTTTTTGTTGTCTTCTAATGTGGAAGAAAAAGTACCCCAAAAACTTTTAAATGTAAAGCAAGAGTATGTGTTAATTTCAAAATTATGTCTTCAAAATACTTTTTTTGTTTGTTTTTGTTTTTCTAATCGCACAAACACACAACTGTGGGGACAATTTAAACTTGTTTGCTAAATAATCTAATTTTTTAACTGAATTATTTTCAGGATGAAAATATGATCAACTTCATCAAAGGTGGACTCAAAATTAGAACAAGTTACCAAATATATAAGTAAGTTAAAAAGTGAGATGTGATTTGTAAATAATTCTGTGCTGCATACTCCTTTGTTCTTCACAGTTCTCCTAAATTAAGTTTGACTAGGAGTTTTTATTTCGTGTTGGTAAAAATGAACTTGATTTTTTGCTCAGTGTGTATTCAGTGTTATAGGACAACAGAATTTAAGTTTAAATACAATTTTAAGAGCAAATTAGTTGAAAATAAAGCTACTGACATATTTTCTGATTACATAATTTGAGTTTCTCCTTTGAACAATTTATAAATTTAAAATTATAGTAATATCTTTGGTTCAGATTCCAGAGCAGCACTGCCCACTAGAACTTTCTGCAGTAAATGGAAATGTTCACCTGAGGTGACCATAGTGTTGTTTGTATCCTTATTGATTTTTTTTTTTTTTTTTTTTTGTGGTATGGAGGCTCGCTCTGTCACCCAGGCTAGAGTGCAGTGGTGCGATCTCGGCTCACTGCCGGCTCCATCTCCCGGGTTCATGCCGTTCTCCTGCCTCAGCCTCCCTAGTAGCTGGGACTACAGGCGCCTGCCACCACACTCGGCCAATTTTTTGTAATTTTAGTAGAGACAGGGTTTCACTGTGTTAACCAGGATGGTCTCAATCTCCTGACCTCGTGATCTGCCTGCCTCGGCCTCCCAGAGTGCTGGGATTACAGGCATGAGCCACTCACCCGGCTATCCTTATTGATTTTTATCCAGTTGTCTTTTATTTACTCAGTGTTAAAGTCTCTAAGTTTGAATCTGGAGTCATCTCTTTCTTCCTTTAGTTCTGTCAGTGTTTGCCTCATATATTTAGGAGCTCTGTTGTCAGGCTCATATAATATGTCTTTATAATTGTTCTGTCTTCCTAATGAATTAACCTTTTCTTCATCTTGAAATGTCTCTATTTAACTCTGGTAATGTTCTTTGTCTTGAAATCTGTATGTCTAATATTCATATAGGCACTCATGCTTTTTATAATTAGTCTTTGCATGGTATATATTCTTTTACTTTAAACATATTTTTGTTTTCATATTTAAATTATGTTTTTAAATATTTAAATTGTATTTCTTATAGATGCACATAGTTGTTGGGCAGTTGATATGTTTGCACTTGTTACTACCATTTTGCTTTTTCTCTTTGCCTCATCTGTTCTCTCACCCTTTTTCCCTGTCTTCTTTTGCTTTAATAACATTTTTAAAACTGTTGTTCTCTTAGCTGTACTCTCTAATTTTTTTTGTGGTTGCTCTAGTGTTTATAATATTCTTTTTAACTTATTACAGTCAACTTAGAGTTAATATTGTAGCACTGGACATAAATTGTAAGAACTTTGCAAAAGTGTAATTTCATTTACCACATTTTGTCCTTTATGCTTTTTTTTTTTTTTTTTTGAGACCGAGTCTTGCTTTGTTGCCCAGGCTGGAGTGCAGTGGTGCGATCTCAGCTCACTGCAACCTCTGCCTCCTGGGTTCAAGCAATTCTCCTGTCTCAGCCTCCTGAGCAGCTGGGACTACAGGCATGTACCATCACGGCCAGTTATTTTTGTATTTTTAGTAGAGATGGAGCTTCACCATATTGGCCAGGCTGGTCTCGAACTCCTGACCTTGTGATCCACCCGCCTCGGCCTCCCAAAGTGCTGGGATTACAGGTGTGAGCCACTGCTCCTAACCCTTTATGCTATTTTTATGATGTATAGCACACTTACATATATTATAAACCCTACAATACAGCGTCAGACTTTCCCTTTAATCAGTTATATGTTGTAGTCTTCTCTCTTTACCCATATTCTTACCATATTTCATATTCTTATTCAAAATGGTAAATATATTTCCTGTTTACTTTCAGACTGAGGAACTTCCTTTAGCATTTCTTATGGGTGTCAGCTTTTAACAAATTCTATTTTCATTTATGTTAAAATATATTTACTTTTTACTTTTTCTTTTCAAAGTTATTTTTGCTAACTACAGTATTCTGAGTCGATGGGTTTTTCCTTCTTTCGGCTCTTTAAAACTGGCTTCCCATTGTGTTAAAGCCTCTGTTATTCAGTTTTCATTTGTATTGTTGTTCCCCTATATGTAATGTGTCTTCTCTTCTGGCTTTTTTGAAGACTGACTCGTTTGTATCTTTGGGTCTCAGTAGTTTGGCTAGGATGTGCCTAAGTGTGGTTTTGAGAAATTTGTGGTCATAATTTTTCAAACTTTTTTTCTGCCCCATTCTTACTTTCTTCTCTCCTGAGACTCCTACTTTTTCCCCTTCATTTTCCAGTGTATGAAAATATGTTTTAAATGTATATTTTATATTTTTCCAGAATTTATGATAGTTATTTGTGGGAAAGTTAATCCGACATAAGCTACCCTGCCATTACTGGTAGCAGAACCAAAATTTAGTATTTTAAGAGGTGCTTCCATTGAAAATCCTTTCACAAAACTGCGTTTCATTCAAAATCCTGGAAAGGGGTGGTAGATCTTGGGTACCTGACATGCTGTTCTATAGATTTCTTTGTGAAGTATTTTTAGAAAATATAAACAAATGTTAAATTCAATGCTAATTGCCGTTTTAGTCATCAAAACTTAAAAATACTAAAGGAATTAAAATAAGCCTGTAGAGGCAAAGACATACAGGTATACCTCAGAGATATTTTGGGTTCCAGACCACTACAATAAAGTGAATATTGCAATAAAGTGAGTCACAAACTTTTTGGTTTCCTTGTGCATATAAAAGTTATGGGCCGGGCGCGGTGGTTCACGCCTATAATCCCAGCACTTTGGGAGGCCGAGGCGGGCAGATCCACGAGGTCAGGAGATTGAGACCATGGTGAAACCCTGTCTCTACTAAAAATACAAAAAATTAGCTGGGCGCGGTGGCCGGTGCCTGTAGTCCCAGCTGCCTGGGAGGCTGAGGCAGGAGAATGGTGTGAACCCGGGAGGCAGAGCTTGCGCTCCAGCCAGGGCGACAGAGCGAGACTCCGTCTCAAAAAAAGAAAAAAAAATGTTGATACTGTACTGTATTCTATTAAGTCTGCCAATACCATTATGTCTACAAAATATACATACCCTAATTGACAAACACTGTTTGCTAAAAAAAATGCTAACAATTATCTGAGCCTTCAGCAAGTGATAATGTTTTTGTTGGTGGAGGTCTTGCCTCCATGTTGATGGGTGCTGACATTCAGGGTAGTGGTTGCTGAAGGTTGGGGTGGCTATAGCAATTTTTTAAAAAAGGACAACAGTGAGGTTTGCCATACCTATTAACTTTTCCTTTCGTAAAAGATTTTTCTGTAGGATGTAATACTGCTCGATGGCATTTTACCCACAGGAGAACTTCTTTCAGAATTAGAGTCCATGCTCTCAAATCTTGCTGCTGCTTTATCAGCGAAGTTTATTTAATATTACAAATCCTTTGTTGTCATATCAACAATGTTTATGGCATCTTTACCGGGAGTAGATTTTATCTCAAGAAACTACTTTCTTGCTCATCCATAAGAGGCAACTCCTCATCCATTAAAGTTTCATCATGAGATGGCAGCAGTCAGTCACATCTTCAGGCTCCACTTCTAATTCTAGTTCTCTTGCTGTTTCTAACACCTCTGAAGTTACTTTCTCCACCAAAGTCTTGAACCCCTCAAAATGATCATGAGAGTTGAAATCTGCTTCTTCCAAACTCCTGTTAATGTGGACATTTTGACTTCCTTCCATGAGTCATGAATGTTCTCTATGACATGTAGAATGATGAATCCTTTTCAGAAGGCTTTCTATTTCCTTTCCCTGGATCCATTAGAGGAATCACTGTGGCAGCAATAGCCTTATAAAGTGTGCTTCTTAAATAATAAGACTTGAAAGTCAAAATTACTCCTTGATCCTTGGGCTGCAGAATGGATGTTGTGTTAGTAGGCATGAAAACAAAAGAATCCTTGCATACATCTCCTTCAGAACTCTTAGGTGACTAGGTGCATTTTCAGTGAGTAATAATACTTTGAAAAAAAATTTTTTTTTTTCCTGAGCAGTGGATCTCAACAGTAGACTGAAAATATTTAGTAAACCATGCTATAAACAGATGTGCTATCATCCAGGCTTTGTTGTTTTAGTTATAGAGCATGGGCAGAGTAGATTTAGGACAATTGTTAAGGGCCTTTGGATATTTGGAATAGTAAATGAATACTGGCTTCCATTTAAAGTCACCGGTTCCATTAGCCCCTAACAAGAGTCAGCCTGACCTTTGAAGTTTTGAAGCCAGGCATTGACTTCTCCTCTCTAGATATGAAAGTTCTAGATAGCCTCTTCTTCCAATAGAAGACCATTTTGTCTACATTGAAAATTTGTTGTTTAGTGCAGCCACCTTTATCAGTGATCTTAGCTAGATATTCTAGATAACTTGCTACTGCTTCTACGTAAGCACTTGCTGCTTCACTTTGTACTTTTTTTTTTTTTTTTTTGAGATGGAGTCTCGCTCTCTTGCCCAGGCAGGAGTGCAGTGGCACGATCTCAGCTCACTGCAACCTCTGCCTCCCAGGTTCAAGTGATTCTCCTGCCTCAGCCTCCCAAGTAGCTGAGACTACAGGCGTGCACCACCATGCCAGGCTAATTTTTGTATTTTTAGTAGAGACAGTGTTTCACCATGCTTGGCTAGGCTGGTCTCGAACTCCTGACCTCATGATCCAGCCACCCTGGCCACCCAAAGTGCTGGGATTACAGGTGTGAGCCACCGTGCCTGGCTGCACTTTTATGTTATAGAGATGGTGTCTTTCCTTAAATTCATGAACCAACCTCTGTTAGCTTCCAAGTTTTTTTTCTTCAGCTTCCTCACCTCTCTCAGCCTTTATGGAGTTAAAGAGTTAGGGTCTTGTTCTGGATTAGGCTTTGGCTTAAGGGAGTGTTGTGGACTGTTTGTTCTATCCAGACCACTACAGCTTTCTCCATATCAGCAATAGGGCTGTTTTGTTTTCGTATCACTTGTGCATTCACTGAAGTAGCACTTTTAATTTTGTTCAAGAACTTTTCTTTTGCACTTACAAGGTGACTGTTTGGCACAAGAGGCCTAGCTTTCAGCCTGTCTTGGCTTTTGACATGCCTTCCTCACTAAGCTTAATTATTTCTAGGTTTTGATTTCAAGTGAGAGAGGGGCGACTCTTCCTTTCACTTGAACACTGAGAGGCCACTGCAGAGTTACCAATTGGCCTAATTTCAATATTGTTTTGTCTCAGGGGACAGGGAGGCCTGAGGAGAGAGATGGGGGAGCAATCTGTCAGAAGAGCAGTCAGAACACACACAACATTTATTGAGAACTTCCTCTGTCTCATATGGCTGTGGTTCATGGCCCCCTCAAACAGTTACAGTAGCAGTAACATTTAAGGTTTCCCATCACAGATCACCATTAACAGATGCAATAATAATTTAAAAGTTTGGAAATTTTATGAGAATTACTAAAATGTGACTCTGAAACACAAAGTGAGCACGTATTGTTGGAATGTGCTCGAATACGCTTGCTCAACACAGAGTTGCTGCAGATCTTCAATTTGTAAAAAATGCAGTACCCACAAAGTGCAATACAGTGAAGTGCAATAAAACAAGGTATGCCTTTCCATATCAGTGAAATGAACCCCAGGGTTTTTGAAAGAGACAGCATGTGTGTGTGCATACATGGATTTACACACACACACACACACACTCTTACCTGGGAATTCAAAATATACTAAATTCCTTTATATACATAGGCCCTTTCAAAACAGTGAAGAAATATAGGTACTTTAGGAAGTGTTTTTGGGGGCCGGGCGCGGTGGCTCAAGCCTGTAATCCCAGCACTTTGGGAGGCCGAGGCGGGTGGATCACGAGGTCAGGAGATCGAGACCATCCTGGCTAATACGGTGAAACCCCGTCTCTACTAAAAATACAAAAAAAAAAAACTAGCCGGGCGTGGTAGCGGGCGCCTGTAGTCCCAGCTACTTGGGAGGCTGAGGCGGGAGAATGGCGTGAACCCGGGAGGCGGAGCTTGCAGTGAGCCAAGATCGCGCCACTGCACTCCAGCCTGGGAGACACAGCGAGACTCCGTCTCAAAAAAAAAAAAAAAAAAGGAAGTGTTTTTGGGAAAATTGTTCATTTTATGGAAAAATCATTAAGAGGAAAAAAGTCCATATAAGTTTAATATTAAAAGATTTAAAAACAATTCTAGCAGGAAACATTAAGAAAGTGTTTTTATAATTCTTAAATATAAAGGCTTTAAACTTTTTTATTTTTTGTTTTTTAACTTTGAAATAATTTGAAAATTTTTACAAAATATTTCCATATAGCCTTCACTCAGATTTACAAATGTTAATATTCTGCGGAAGCACATTACAATGATTAAAATCAGGACACTGACATGGATACAGTATTAATATTTACTCCATGGCCTTTACTTAAATTTCTCCAGTTGTCTCATCAATGCCCTTTTTCTGGCTCAGGATCCAACCTGGGATCCTGGATACTGAGTTTAGCTGTCATGTCTCCTGAGTCTCTTCTCATCCGGAATAGTTCCTCAGTCTTTGTCTTTAATGATGTTGACACTTTAAAAGAATAAACTGGCCAGTTATTTAGTAAAACAACCATCAATGTGGACTTTCCTAATGTTTCTTCACGATTAAATTCAGATTATGAATCTATGGCAAAAATACCATAGAAATGATATCATTAGGTACATGATGTCAGTTTCAAAGGCCTTTTAGCCATGGCATAAAATCAGAAATCAGAGGAAATTCATTGAGCTGACCAAAAAACATGCATCATTTTATTTGGCAAAATACACCATAAAAAAAAATAAATGACTCAGGGGAAATGACAGCAGGGGATACTTGTAGGCTGGTGGGCATCTGAATTGACTCTCTAAACCCTTAAATTTTTTGTAAACTGGAAGTTAGGTCTATAGGCTTGCTAGATTCAGATTAAAAATATTTGGCTAGACTGGATCACAGGTGTAGTTGCACATTTTATAATTGCATCACACCAGGTGATACATGATATCTCAATATTCCTTATTATTAAAAAAATTTGTCAATTTGATAAGCAATTCCCAGTTATTATCAATTTTTATATTTTTCTCATTGTTTTAGTTTGTATTTCTCTGGTAAAGATTTGCCTTTTGAAGATAATGTGAACAGGCAAGAGAGAAATACGTAGAAAATATAGTGAGAAGTTGGAAAGATGTGCGTGGATGGAGCAGGAAGAAAGCAGAGGACAGATGGGGCCATTGTGATGGCCTTTGCTTTGTTGTTTTCAGTCTGTCCTGGTCCCAAGCCCTAATTTATTTGGTCTATTTGAGACAATGGCAGTCACACTGAAGTTCAGATCTTCTTGCTAGTAGCATTTCATTTCCTTGGGCTGCAGTGTGTGCAGTGGTTGAGGAGCTGAGCCCTCTCAAGCAGTCCGCTGTAAGACGCTGCTGGAAGCTGTGGGATGGCAGCCTGTGGTCCTGTGGCTCCTGGCTGGTGCTTGCCAATGGATGAACCCTCTCTTTAAGCCCAGAAACACTGGTTCTGCTAGACACTGTAAAAATGAGTGTCTCCTTTTTCCTTGATGATTATTACCTAGTATCCTTAAGAGTAAACTCAGCACAGCATCATCCATTTAAAATTTTGACGGTATTTTAATTAATGACATTTATTTTACAGTATGTAATTGTAAAATGTGATTTAATATTTATTTTCAGAGTCATGGTCAACTTACGCTATCACTTTTTTTCTTCAATCCAGAGAATGTCTTTCTATTCTGCATGAAATTCAGAAGAACAAACTTCAGCAGGAATTCTTCTATGAGTTTGAAGGGGGTGTCAAGCTTGGCACTGGGGCCTTTAATTTGGTAAGGAAGCACTATATAGAAACCAGAACTTTTGCAGAAGAACCTAAGGTTATCTGTGCCTTCTCCACTGCATTTGAACCTTATCCTGAACCTCTCCCTGGGTTGGTTGACAAACAGCTAGAGTGGGATCAGTTTTCCGGCACTGTGACCCAGTGTGTTATGAAGTTCCACACATGCTCAGAGTAGCTTTGGATTGTAAAATGTAAGGGAAGCCTGTGGCACTCTGAATAGACTAGTAAGATTTTGGTGACGGGCGGATCACAAGGTCAGGAGATCAAGACCATCCTGGCTAACACAGTGAAACCCGTCTCTACTAAAAAATACAAAAAAATAGCCAGGCGAGGTGGCAGGCGCCTGTAGTCCCAGCTACTCAGGAGGCTGAGGCAGGAGAATGGCGCAAACCCGGGAGGTGGAGCTTGCAGTGAGCTGAGATCCGGCCACTGCACTCCAGCATGGGCGACAGAGCGAGACTCCGTCTTAAAAAAATATATATTAAAAAAAAAAAAAAAAAAGATTTTGGTAACAAGGAACAGTGGAATCCATTTCCACATTGGAAATATTGTTGCAATGACAGTGATGGCTCTGGAATTGAAAATGTGTGAGGGACCAGTATAACTTGAGGAATGATTTTTGATGATCCCTGAGGAGATGAAGTCTGAGTAGTAATCTGTCAAATTCCAATATGTTATTAAGAGATTTTTAAATTTTGTTGATGGTTCACTGGAATTAGTGAAAAAACAAAGTGGTCAAGAGAAGTATACACGTGAGTGTATGTGCCGCTTTGGCCACTTTGCTTACGAACCCGTGGGTGATGATTGGGAAAGAGGCTGACTGGTACCCACAGAATGAACCATCCTATCCAATTGGTTGTTAAAATCCTCTTTTGCTAAGGTCATCTTTTGATGTGTATCCACATGGGAACATTTTCTGCCCGTTCAGGAAGATCTGTCCACATACTTCTTCCCCAGACCTCTTTGTCACCAATTTTCCAATCATGTTCTTTCCAAGCCTGTGCCCATCCAACCAAACCATTGTCTACATCCCCTGAATCAGCATATATAATTGCACATCTGGCCATTTTTCCTTTCAAGCATAGTGCATAACCAGGTGCACTGCCCAAGGTTCTGCCCACTGGAAGAATATTCCCTCACCACTGTCCTTTAGGAATATCCCGGAGAGAAGTGGTAGTGCTGCAGCTGTCCACTTCTGGGTGGTGTCTACACATCTCACAGACTATGACTGATTTTTGCTTCTGGGAAAGGAAACTAAGAAACCTTGCCTGGACATGGGCTTTGAGGGGTTGCCTTCTTGTCACTTCTTCACACCACATCAAAGTTCCCACTATTCTATAGAGAACACTGGAAAGACCAGCCTTAAAACAAAACTTTTTATTTTTATTTTTATTTTTATTTTTATTTTTTGAGACGGAGTCTCGCTGTGTAGCCCAGGCTGGAGTGCAGTGGCCAGATCTCAGCTCACTGCAAGCTCCGCCTCCCGGGTTCACACCATTCTCCGGTCTCAGCCTCCCGAGTAGCTGGGACTACAGGCGCCCGCCACTTCGCCCGGCTATTTTTTTGTATTTCTTAGTAGAGACGGGGTTTCACCGTGTTAGCCAGGATGGTCTCGATCTCCTGACCTCGTGATCCGCCCATCTCGGCCTCCCAAAGTGCTGGGATTACAGGCTTGAGCCACCGCGCCCGGCCAAAACAAAACTTTTTAAAGGTTCATTGTTATAGCTAAATAAAAGTTATTTATAAATGATTGTTACAATATGTGGTCACAGAAATATCTGGTGGTTAAAAGTTGTTTCCAATTTTTCACATTATTGAAGCATTAAAACTGTAAGTTAAATTTGTTTGCAGTTAGAAACGCTAACACATAAGTACACTGTATTTTTTTTTCTTACAGATGCTGTCCCTTTTACCAGCAAGGATTATCAGACTACTGGAATTTATTGGATTTTCTGGAAATAGGGTACAAATTTAATTTTATCTTAATTTTGACAGGGAAGATTAAATATTATTTATTGAATATGAGGGCAATGCAACATGTCTGCATAACTGGCTTGATAATTATTGGCAATTTGTTTGTGGGACAGAAAATAAGCCTTTGATTCTTGATCACATTTTTCAGGAGTTAGATGTAGTTTTTCTGTTGAAAGTTAAAAATGTTCACCCTTGTTATCCAAATTCTTGGATGAAAAATTATGTGTTGCTAATATTGCTTCTTGCTAGATCTTATTACTCTCACATGCTTTCCTATGCTTTCTTAATAGTTAAGCAGCCCCAGAGTTGCCCTCCTTAAGATGAAGAAATTAGCTGGATTTCCCTGTCTAATATTTTATGATTTTCATGGATCAAATACGATGCAGAATTTTGGATTTCCATGTGTTTCCACAAGTTTCTTTATAAAACTAAATGACGAAATATGTTTTTCATGAGTTTTATTTATTAAATGTCTGTGCGTTTATGGTTTGGTAGTGAATATATCACTTTTATTAACCATGACACTCAATATGCTATTATAAGAGTTGCCTCATGGCAAAAAGTGTCGATTAAAAGAGCAGGTTTTGAGAAATGTGTGAGAGCAAGTATAAGCAGCTATCGCTTTTTTTCCTGTCTTTTCTACTGTCCATGTTCTTCATGAGCTATGGTGTATTTATGGTGATTCCTTCATAATGTCCATTCTGACTCTGTGTTTCATGGTCACCCTTCTCCTTAACTGTTCACCTTCTACCTGATTCCTTCAGAGGCTCTGAATTGCCTCTCGAATAAAGTTCAAACTATTAATGGCTTCAGGGACCCCATGGTCTGATTCTAGCCAGTGTTTCCAGCCATGCTACCCATATTCCTCACATTCCCAGTACTCCTGTTAAACTGGGCAATCTGTTGTTCCCCAGCAAGTCCTGTGCTTTTGTTTCCATGCTTTTGCTTTTCTCTGTTTTGGATATCCTCCCCAACTGGCTTCCTCCCAAATAATTGTCTCTCAAGAGCTCTTCCATCCACTAGGGTTGAGATAAATGCCACCTATCTCACAAAGCTGTCCCTCATACTCCCTTAGTGAGGCTCAAGCATTCCTGACTTTCAGAATTGTCTATTTATCCTTCTTACAATCTCTCTCCATATTCTAATAAGGTCATTGTGTTCACATACTGTCTTCTCTATTTAATAGAAAGATCTTTGAAGACATAGACCATGTTTGTTCATACCCGCCATAGTGCCTTGCACTTAAATCCTCAATATGTTTTAGTGAATATTTCTATCAGAGAAATAGAGTATCTCCATGAAATGAACACAGCCCGTTTCTCTCTTCAGAATCACATGATATAAAAGGATTTATGAGAGTGTCTTATGCAAGTTTAATAAGGTTCATTTCTAGTTAGGCATTACCACCATTCTAGTTCCTTTAAAAAGAAACCCCACCTTCATGGAGGATAAGGATATATGAACTAGCATTTTTAAGTTTCTGAATAGGCCAGGCATGGTTGCTCATGCCTGTAATCCCAGCACTTTGGGAGGCTGAGGTGGGTGGATCGCTTGAGCCCACGAGTTCGAGAGCAGCCTGGGTAACATGTTAAAATCCTGTCTCTACAAAAAATACAAAAATTAACTGGCCGTGGTGGTACACACCTGTAGTCACAGCTACTTGGGAGGCTGTGGTGGGAGGATCACCTGAGTCTAGAGAGGTGGGGGATGCAGTGAGCCATGATTGTGCCACTGTACTCCAACCTGGGTGACAGAATGAGACTCTGTCTCAAAATTAAAGAGTTTCTAAATAGAAAGTCAAATACCACGTTTTCACTTATAAATGGGAGCTAGACAATGGTACATATGGACATACAAAGTGGAATAATAGACATTGGAGGCCATCAAAGGTGGGAGGGGTGGGGAAGAGAGGGTTGAAAAATTACCTGTTGGGTATGATGTTCATTCGTGGGGTGATGGGTACACGAAAAGCCCAGACTTCACCACAGCATAATATGTGAAATCTGTACTTGTAACCCCTCGATATATAAAAATGTTTAAAAAGTTTCTGAATATGATTTTCTAGCCGTGTTCTCTTTCTAAAATGCATTTAATTCCCATAGGAGTTGGGCCTCCTGCAGTTACGCGAAGGTGCCTCAGGAAAAAGCATGAGGTCTGCACTGTGCTGCTTAACCATCTTAGCTTTTCATACTTACATCTCCCTAATACTTGGTAAGATCTGGATTAGGTTGTTTCATTGAACATTGATTATCTTGGCCAGACATGGTGGGTTACACCTGTAATCCCAGCTACTTGGGAGGCTGAGGTGGGAGGATCGGTCGAACCCAGGAGTTTGAGGCTGCAGTGAGCTATGATCACGTCATTGCACTGGATCCAGCCTGGGCAACAGAGTGAGATCCTGTCTCCAAATTAAAAAACAAAACAAAAAGTTGATTATTTTTAATCTGAGTAAGTAAAAGTTTAGAAAGATCAACAAAAGCTAGTAGTTCATATCTGCTTACTTATTTTTTTTTTTTTGAATAAAGGTAGAAAATAGTGTCCTTTGTCATAGTGACATTTAGCAGAGGGAGTAGGGTAGTTTCTTTCATTAAATAATTTTCATCTGTTCTCAGCTAAAATTTCTATATTAAGGTGATCTATTTTATTCTATATTAGATTTCTTTGCAGAAAATGAAATTTTGGGCTAAATAAGTTAATATTGCTATTAAAACCAGAAATTCCAATTAGGAATCTGAGACAGCCACCTGCATTCTTAAGAATTAGTGTGTCCTAGAGTTTCTTAAACTAAAGTTATAGGTGAGACTGGTCTTTATTTTATTCCCCAGTTATAAAAATGATGAAATAATAGTTTTCATCTTTTCCATGAGTAGGTCTTTACTGTATGTTAATGAAGTTTGGAGAGTTAGTTATAAATATCCCCATGCCTTATGAAGACTGAGGTTTTTCCTGTTAAATTTCTAGGTACAGGAGAAGTGAATGTTGCCGAAGCAGAGCGTCTCCTGGCACCCTTCCTCCAGCAGTTTCCAAATGTACGCTTAGTATTTCAAAGTGTATGTTTCAACCATAATTAATCAGCCAGTGTTGACTGTTGAACAGTGTGTTTTCTTCCTTGCTCTGCAGGGCTCACTCGTGTTGTTTTATCATGCCCGAATAGAGTTGCTGAAAGGGAATCTTGAAGAGGTAATTTATTAGGTGGGAGTTATTTGGGGGAGTTGTCTGTATGGTGGAGCTGTGACCTACTCATTCAACAAAAGTAAACTTAGCTATATGGACTAGACAAAAATAAAGAAAAAAACAATATAAGTAAAAAGCCAAAACTTTAACTTGTATATACATTCTATTGTATAAAATCTATGTAGTGGATTACTGAATGTAGTCTACATTTATACACAGAGTACATTAAGCACTTTAGGGTAGTATATACCAAATAATAAGCTCAGGGATTTTCAAGAAACTGTGACTGTTACCAATTTCTGCATTATACACTGACTTTGGAATCTAGCCCCTGCATGACATGCAAGTCTACTACATGTAGGCTCCTTATCAAAGGAAATTATTCATCAATTCCCTCAAAAAAGGAAGTGTCGGGGTCAGAAGTAGAAAAGTAAGGAGCCATTTATGGATATACATTCACAAACCATTTTTTCCACACAAATGGGATCAAACATGTATTTTTCTGTGATTGGAACCTCCCCACTCCCACATTACAAAGTGTCAAGGCCCCCCACAAAATTAAAGAAAGAGGCAGAACTTAACTGTATCATTGCCTGTAAGGAAAAGAACATAACATCATATTGAGAGGTTGAATGAGTGATAATTTTGTCCTTTTTGTACTAAGTGTTTTATGTATTTTCCCATTAGGTTATTATCTCCTTGTCTAATATCTGGATGATCAACTTCATGCAATTGATTTACAGGCACAAGAAGTATTTCGAAAATGTGTTTCAGTTCAAGAAGAATGGAAACAGTTTCACCATCTCTGCTACTGGGAGCTAATGTGGATTAATGTTTTCCAACAAAACTGGATGCAGGCATATTACTATTCAGATCTGCTTTGCAAAGAGAGTAAATGGTCCAAGGTAAAGTGCAATACTTTCATTAATGTCATCTGTTTGCTAATATGTGGCCAGGAAGATTTTCATTTAGGACTGTTTGCTCGGTAGTATGGTACCACAGTGTTTTCTCAACTTAGAGATTCACAAAAGGAGGAAATGTGCCTTAAGTACCCACTGTTTATAGGTACTGTCCTCAGCATTACATGCTTTAAAAGCCATCCACAGTTCTTTTCAGGGCCAAATACGATGGCCCATACCTATAATCCCAGCCCTTTGGGAGGCTAAGGCAGGAAGATGGCTTGAGGCCAGGAGTTTGATACTAGCCAGGGCAACATAGTGTGATTTTTATCTCTGCAAAAAATAAAAACCTTAGCCAGGCATGGTGGTACATGTCTAGAGTCCCTTCTACGTGGGAGGCTGAGGCAGGAGGATAGCTTGAGTCGAAGAGTTTGAGGCTACAGTGAGCTATGATCACACCACTGCACTCCAGCCTGGTGACAGAGTGAGACCCTGTCCCAAACAATAACAAAGTTATTTGAAACGTGAGGTTTTATCTCTGAAAATGAGCTGAACTTATGAAGTTATGAAACCTTAATCATCTTGATAATTTTTGTAGACTTCCCAGTGCCCTGATGCCCAGGCTTTTCGGGATAATGAAAATTAATTCTGATCCACTTATGAGAAGTTGGGGGGCAATGAGATAATTTTTTATTGTTCATTCTGTCCGCTTTCTCACCTATGAATGCTGTTGTTGTATAATAGAAAAATCGTCTAAATTATTGATAATTGAAAAGAGTTGTTCTCATTTTGAACAGGGATTATAAGATTTCATTTCCTCTGATTTCTTTAATGCCTGTTAATATTATATCTGGAAGGCTTGTAGGTCATTTCTGATTTGAAAGGTAGAAATGTTATGTACCTAGGGATGTTCTGTAATAAGCTCCTTCTTTTTCTCAAGGCAACTTATGTGTTCTTGAAAGCGGCAATTTTGAGTATGCTTCCAGAGGAGGATGTAGTAGCAACTAATGAGAATGTGGTAACTTTATTCAGGTATGTGAGACACTATTTCTATAACAAAGGCCCTGAGGGTATAAAGGGGCAAAATCTCATCTCTACTAAAAATACAAAAAATTAGCTGGGCATGGTGGCATGTGCTTGTAGTCCCAGCTACTTGGGAAGCTTAGGTGGGAGGATTGCTTGAGCCTGGGAGGTAGAGGTTGCAGTGAGCTGAAATAACGCCACTGCACTGCAGCCTGGGCGACAGGCAGAGTGAGACCCTGTCTCCAAAAAAAAAAAAAAAACTGACCATGTATATTAACTGTAGCATCAACATCAACATTAGTAAAAGCCATGGCATGATAAATGTCACCTTTTACTGTAAAGTTCATTTCCTCATTTTACAGAAACAACAATTAATGGAAGGGAGTATTAAGATACATTAAAATCTTTTAAATCTCCTTCTCTTTCTTCCAATGCAGATTAAGTTTTCTCCGTATCAAAACAATTTATGTGAAAGATGTAATCATTTTTATTTTCAGAAGAAAGCTTTGAGATCTTGCTCTGTCGTAGCTTCTATGTCGTCGGGATAATGAGAGTTCTAACAATGAATGGTCTCTTCATAAAAATGCTGTTACCTTTCAACTATAAGGGTTCCTGTCTGAGACATACTTCTGACCCCTTCCTCTGACTCCCACCTCACATTTCCACTGTCTTTTCCACTGATGGTAATGAACATAGTGATGGTACACTAGTTTAAAATCCATAGCTCCATATTGTGCCCACAAGTAACCTAACACAAGCTTACCTCATATTGGAGGCATGTTATTTCATGTTAATTTTTCTTTCAGTGAAGTAATTATTTCCTTGAATTCTTTCTCAGCAACTTGTTTGATGCATTCATAGAATTTTGCATAAGAAAGTGCTCGCAGGAACGTGTAGTTTCCCCATCTTACTCTCATTTTTACCTGCTTATGAATTTCATAATTGGAATTCTGTCGAATTTTTAAAAGGAAGTTTGTAAACAGGGTACATGTCCTAAGCTGATTATTTCCTAAACAACCTGTACCTGGGAAACATTTTCTTAAATTATGTATTAACTGATTGCTATCTTTTGGGCCATATTATTTTATAGATCTGTGTAATACTTGCAAGTAAGAATAGGCGATATACCAGTGTACCGTCTTCTCTCTCCCTGAGTATCCACAACATAAGTAAATACTTTGGACTCTTTCCTGCTTACTCGTAGAAATCGCCAATTGTATACCTAGATTTCCTGGACTGTGTTTGATAGATTTAAGACATTAGCTAAGTTGACTGGAAAGAAATATGTGTCAATCAGTGGTTCTCAATCTTGAGTGTGCCTCAGAATCACCTGGAGGGCTTATCAAAATCTAGATTGCTCTGCCCCAGCCCTGGAGTTGCTGATTCAGTAGGTCTAGAGTAGGGCCTGAAAATTGGCATTTCAAATAGGTTCCCAGGTGATGCTGCTGCTGGTGGTCTGTGAAGTTCACTGTGAAAACTACAGGTATAAATAACGTATGTGTTGCCATGACCTTTCTCTGGGGTGGGCTGGGACTCTTCACAGACAGGTGGACAGCTTGAAGCAGAGAATTGCCGGGAAGTCTCTCCCTACTGAGAAGTTTGCTGTGAGGAAGGCTCGGCGTTACTCCGCCTCCTTGCCTGCACCTGTGAAGCTCATCTTACCTGCCCTGGTATCTGCTTTTATTTTATTTACTTTTCATGTACTAGAAGTAAATTATCTAGTTACAGCAGCAGGGAGCATATCTAAATTTGGTTATGAAGTTTAGCTCACTTAAAAACCATTTTAAGTTTTGTTGTAAGTTGAACATTTCTAAATAACATTTCTAAATAAGTAATTAATAAATAAAAACTGTAGCTAATGGTTTTTGACTAGTTAGTATGCTCCAGGCATTAGGATAAAGGCTACTAAAAACATATCATTTAATTCTTACAACTTTTTGAGTATAGTTAACTCTTAACCACATTTTTTAGATAAAGAAATTTAGATAGAAGTTGATTCCATTGAAGTTGAATTGAATTCTAATGCAAGCCACATTATGTCATTTTACCTTTTCTAATAGCCACATTAAAAAAGTAAGAGGAAATAGAAATGAATTTCAAGAATATATTTTGTTTAACCCAGTATATGCAAAATTTTGTCATTTCAACATGTAATTGGTAGAAGCTTATCCATGAGATACATACATACTTTCATATTGAACCAAGTCTTAAAAATTTAGTGTGTCTTTTACACTTAGAGGACATCTTAGTCTGGGCTAGCCGTATTTCCAGTGCTCAAGAGCCATAACTGGCTGCTGGCTGTTGTATTCTAGCTCCAGCTCACATTCTAAAACTTTATGCCATTTAGGCAAGGCTTCTGTGAAAAACACAATTTCAACTTAAATTTTCTTAATGAAGTCTTCTTCAAAAAATACTGAATATATCAAGTTACTATGACTCTTCTGGTGCTTTAGTGTTTGTATAGATCGTCAGCACAGGAAAGCTGTTCATTGTAAGCCGATGTCTGTGGTTCTCCACTGTGGGGTTTCCTGAATTTTTTGTTTTTTGTTTTTTTTTAATTCAAAGTTTATTTCATTATTCCTCTTTGACAGTTATTTAGATTTTTCCAGTTTTTGTAATTATACACTACAATGAATATCCTTTTTGTATGTGTGCATATAATTATCTGTGAAGGATTTTTTTAAAATGGAATTCCTGGCTCAAGGGAATATATACATTTAATGTTTTGGTAGATAGTGTTAAATTTCCCTCAAAAAAAGCTCTACCAATTTAAATAAGTACTGACAGTATTTTGCCATTTTAATTTGCATTTCCTTGTGGATGTGGTGGAGCATCTTTTCATGTGTTTCTTCATTTTTATTTTTTCTTTTGTGAATTGTTGTTCATATTCTTCCCTAATTTTTCATTGGGTTGTTGATTGTTTTCTTAGTGACTTACGGGAGCCCTTTATACATCCTATGAGAAAGAACAATGCAGCCTTGCCCTGACGGGTCAGACAGGAGTTACCCGGCACCTCGCACCTAGGTCCAGGTGTTTCCTACCTAACACAAACTCAGAGAACTTCAGCATCACACAGGGACATTCTGTGATTGTGATGGAGCAAGACAAAAATATGACCACTCCGTAATCATGTCTGAGCACAAATAAAAACCAGAACACTGCGTAAATCCCACAAATAACCAAACATCTCCCTCTCCCAGCTCACATGAGAGCCTTCTGCTGCTTAACCAGTTAGAGCCTTAGCTCCATGCCTGATTCATTTTTATTAGGTGATTTGCACTGGGAAGGTTTTTCTGTCTCACAGAACTCTACTGAAAATTTTCTAGACTGTCGTCATTCTTTGCCTTAGTACTTAGATACCAGTGTGTATGTAATTGTATCCTGCTTTGACTGTTAAGAACCATAGGGAAGATTAACTCACTGCACTTCTTTCTCCGGGTCTATGGATGTAGAATGTATAGGAAATTGGCTTGAAATGTTAGTACTGGGATTTTTATTTTTATTTTTTTTGTACCTAGGAATTTTACCAAAAGCCTGTTTTTCATAAAGTCTCAGATATGAGCTTGCCTCCTTCCGATAAAAAGATTTCATCCATAAAAGGAATTTTTAAAAGATCATCATCAATTTAAAAAATACTCTGTTATTGAATTGACCTCTTACTTTATTAGCAACAAGAAGTTGTTACATGTAAAACTGAATGAAGGTAGAGTGTCATGATCTTAGTTTTGGGTGCCATAAGGTAAAGATACCTTTGCCGCCCTTCTACTTGAATGTGTTGTTCTCATTTCCACTACTTCCTGCTAAGAGGCTTTTCAAGCAGTGTTTTTATCATATCTTAAAATTTATTTCCAAGAAGATACTAATTACCCTGCTTACTTCATACCCTTAAAAATATTAACTGCACTATCAGGAACATTAGAAAAATATTTTCAAGCAAAAGCACATTTGCTTTTGATCCAAAAAAATTCTCATCTGGTAGCCCATTAAATATAATATGTAATGAGAAATCATTAGTTTACATTTTAGGAGCTGTCATTCAGCCATATGGCTTTTAAATGAATACGTTTTCTGCATATTGGATTACATTACTGGACCATGTTTTTAATGGTATAAAAGATCCTAAGCCCAGTAAAATATTCCAATGTTTATATCCAGTGATATTCTTGGAAACATTTTATGTAAACAACTGGCAGACACTTAAAAATATTTTTCTTTACTTAAAAGTAACAACAAAAGTTTACATTAAACAGAATTATTCATGGTATCGGTTTAAAATATTTATTTCTGTATCTGTATTCTATTACCTTCCAAAAGAACTAAATGCTTATAGATATTTAATAAATATTTGTTATATGAATGAGTAAATTAAATTTTTGGTAAAAACATATATACTGAATTACTTCACAGTATAAAAGGCAAAAACAAAGGAAAATTATCTGTAAATATTGTCTTGAGGTTCCTAGAAACCAAGGCAAAACACATGAACATTGTTTGGGGATCATAAAGGACATTGAATAACCTCATATAACTGCAAATGGTTTTCATTTTTCCTCATTAGGAAATGATGTATGTCTGGAATGGTTTTTCAATAGTGAGCAAAAGAAAAGACCTTTCTGAAAATCTGTTGGTAACTGTTGAAAAAGCTGAGGCAGCTTTACAAAGTCAAAGTAAGTATACACAGTAAGCACCGAGGAGCCTTTGTCTCTGCTCAGACAGACCCCTGTCCTGTGTTTGCCCTGTGCACATCTGCCTACATTAATTTGTGTACATCACAAGGACAAAGAGCTTGAGTTGCAGGGGTCTGGGTGAGGAATGACATACACTGCAACTGCATGAACCTTGGAAACATCTTGCTAAGGGAAAAAGGCCAGCTGTAAAAGACCACACATTATATGATTCCCTTTACACGACAGTCAGAATAGACAAATCTATAAAGACAGACCGCAGATGAGTGATTGCCTAGGGATGGAGGATGGAAGGATGGAGGATGGAAGGGGTTATGATAGCTTTTTGGGGAGGGAGGTGACAGTGTTCTACAGTCGACTGTGGTGATGGCTGTACAACTCTTGTAAATATGCTAAAAACCGTTGAGTGGTATACTCTTAATAGGTGAATTGTATGGTATGTGAACTATATCTTAAAACTGTGACAAAAAAGATGAAGGGAGGAAGCCCAGCATTGGAATTTTAGAGCAGCACAAGGAAACATGCACTTCTCTCTGGGTTGAGTTTGCTGCGACTCTTTCTATTCCTCCTTATTGCTGTCTAACCGTTAGTGTGTTTCTGCAGACACAGGGAATAGTTTTGAAGGTGAAATATTATCACAATTTATTTTACCTGTTACATTTGGTTGTGCTAGAGGCCACACTTCAGTTTACTGGAAGCAGCTGATGTGGTAAAAGGAGAATCAGAATCAGGCAGTCTGGGCTTATAGTCCAGCTCTGCAGCCATCGGACTTTGGGTAACACCTCTGTTTTCTTGTGAAGTGGGAGGAGTGTTGGACCAGATGCTATCCAAAGTTGTTTCCTTGCCCTGACATTTTCTGATTCTGTATTTTTAAGAGGGGTAAACAATGCCATAAGTGATAGCCTGTGTTATATTTCTTTTCAATGCCAAGTCACTTAGGTATTATCCCAAGAGAAATGGTCTTTTGTAATATTCTAACCACATAAGTAAAATGAGAACTTCTGTGATGATAAACATGATAAAGGGCATAGAAATTCAGGAATGGTGGGGAAAAATTTTAACAGTTACCTCATTTTTCTTAACTGGAAAAAGATGGGCACTCCAGGAGCCCAGCTCCTGTCTATTTGAGCAAGCTCTTCACCGCCCCCAGGCCCCCATTTGTTGGGGGCAAAATTCGAGGGGAAATATATTTTATCAGACTATGCCAGTAAAATGCAGTGGAAATGTAGAAAACCGAGTCACTCCCCTCCACCCATTCCTTTTTCTCTTAATGACATGCTGAGATGATAGGCTTTAGAGATATTTAAGCAGGGCAGGAGGGAGCTGAGACAGACAGACAGACATGCCATACTTACCCACAGTTTTGGCTTTGTGTGTCTCTCTCTGGGTGAAATAATTAGTTCGTTTTCTGAAGATCACCTTTGCCAGATATTGCATGTGAAACTTACGACCTCTTCTAGGAGTCGTTTTATGCAAGAAGATTATCTCCTGCTCTCCTTGCCACCTTGAACTGTTAGGACAGTTTAGTAATTAAGCTCCTATCCTTCAGAGCAGGGAAGAAAAAGTCCATAATTGGAAAATGGAGAGAAGTTGGAAAATGGAGAGAAGTTGTAAACCCGAGGTTACATCATCTTCCACCCCATCCCCCACCCCCATTATTAGAAACTGGCTGTGTATTGGCTTCTCCTAGCTTTGCAAGTGTGTCTGAAGTAAAAGATGGTAGAGGATACAACTGATCTTCTACTCTGCAATGCTCTGGCCGTAGTTATTAAATGCTGGCTGCTGATCCAAAAGATAGAACTTTGAAGACAGAACAGAATTTGGTGACGTCCCTGGAGTCGGCATTTGGTATTAATTCCAATAGTATTTCATTTGAAATCTTAACTACATTCAGCATGTAACCAGAAGTTCCACTTTGACTAATTTGCTTAATGAAATTATATAGCAAACATTATGAGAGTTATGTAAAAGGGAAAGTGATACTGACTTTATGATTTTTTACTTTCTAAATCTTTTTTCAGATTTTTCTCTTGGGGGCATTTCAGCTAGCTTCTAAAAATTTCAGCATAGATACTTTTTGTAGTTTGGGGTTCAAACTTCCCTATTTCTCAGCCTATCTACCATAAAAGTTCAGCAGATCTTTTGTGATAAAATTGTGCTCTAGTAGCTTTATCATGTAATTTTCTTTGAATGTTAAATGGAAACATATTACATGTGTGTTATGTGTTGAAATGTTCATCTATGAACACATTCATGAGGTTGAAAATCATGACAAAGCATTTATACTTCAAGGGAAAATAATCATCTGCTAGATAATGGTTTGTAGTCAGAGGAAATAATGATTTTGCCATCTGAGATTTTTGGAGGAATATGGTATTTTTGAACCCACCTGCCATATGCCTAACTCAAGTTCATCATAGAAGTTACAGGTGGCTTTACTGGTATTTTAACTTCCCATGATGTTATGTCTGTTCCTCAACAAAATCATCATTCACAGAGCACCAGAATGTTGTCATAACACAAACTGTCGATACAATGCTACAGGAAACTCAGTAGAATGCACAAAAATGATACTACAAGCTAGCATCCAATATGGACCCTTTGGTTTTGGTTCTAGGTCCTAAAAGATATTACTTCTTGAATGTCTATTTTAACATCCATGATTAAAAGCAATGGATAGAATTTTATTTTGGTAGAAAAATGATTCTAATTAATAATAGAAAAGGTAATGTGTTATTGATACCTGTATTTTCTGGGTGAATGACCTATCAGAGCTTGAAAGTTAGAGGTGAATATTCAGTTTTCAGCACCTAGAAGTAACCCCCTCTGGTTGGTTAAGTAGCATCGTTAATCTCCATAGACAAGTGGTTTACCATCTAAACTGCCAGCATGTGTTAATAATGATTTCTGAGGTTTGTGCTGAAAGCAGGAGGATTTCAATAGGAGCGACTCCCAAGGCCTCGTGTGTTCCTTTTACTGCCGTCCTCTCTACTGTCACAGCCTGAAATGTGTAAATTGTCAGTCTGTCTTGAATAATGTTGTACTTGCCTGTAACTTGCAAGAAAATTTCAAAAGTGTAAGTGTGGAATGGCTACCTTTGTCAGATAGATGTCACACATAATATGGTTCCTTCTGTTTAACAGACATTTGCCTTGGGCTGTAGAATGCAGAGAGCATTTTCAAAAGGGAAAAAGTGGTGAAAAAATCCTTGACATTTTCCTCAAGCAGTTAGAAGTTTGTGGAGATTTTAGGTGTCTTTCATGTACTTCAGAACCATTTTGTTTAATCTTATGGCATAATTTCCCCCAAAAAGAACACAACCTGGGAGAATTGATAAGTAGTAAACATAATGATCTGGAGAGGGTATTCTACTTCCTGAATTTTTAGTGGGGATATGGCCATCTGCTTCTCCATATGGAAGTGTTATCCACTGCTGTATTGAAGCCAACACAGAAGCCAAACAACAGGAGGAGGCAGCCTTCTTGTTCCTCATGGCTTTACCTTTGATAGGATTAATAAAACTCTTACTTTATTTAGAGTTCAGATTTCTGGTTGTGGTATCTAAGGTCACAAAGCTCAGAGTGTGACCACCTGAAGAATATTTTAAAGTGGATAGAGTGAACTCCTTAATAAAGTGGTATTCTTTTATAGTAAATTCAGCATTGTAGGAATGTATGTATATATCAGATGGGGTCTTGCTCTTTCACCCAGACTGCAGTGCAGTGATGCCATCATAGCTCACTGCAGCCTCGAACTGCTGGGCTCAAGTGATCTTCCTGCCTCAGTCTCTGAGTAGCTGGGACTACAGGCGCATGCCATCATGCCCAGTAATTAAAAAAACTTTTTTTGTACAGATGGGGTCTCATTGTATTGCCCAGGCTGATCCTGAACTCCTGGGCTCAAGTGAGCCTCCCACCTTGACCTCCCAAAGCATTGGGACTACAGATGTGAACCACTGTGCCCAGCTCTTTTCATTTAAAATAATTTCATTGTATTTTATTTAGTGAGGCATAACAAATGCTAAAAAATATTTTCCTTATTTTTAAATGATCCTTCTGAAACTTTATTCTTTCTCTTAAGATCTTAAAAAGTATTTTTATTTGTGTGTTTCCTTTGTTTTTTGTTTTAAGATTTTAACAGCTTCTCTGTGGATGACGAGTGCTTAGTGAAGTTACTTAAAGGATGTTGCCTCAAGAACTTACAGCGGCCCTTGCAAGCTGAACTATGTTACAATCATGTTGTGGAAAGGTAAGACCAAACAATAAAACCAACCCAAGTGCAAATTGTGGTTTTTGGGGAATTGCTGTGAGAAAGTGATACAAAATGCTTTTATCTCTTACTGCTAAACTCTTACTTGGTGTTACCAGAAAGAAAATCCAGTAGTGTTTTGTTGTTGCTTTTGTTCCTCATGAACAAAATTATGGTCTAGGTGGAACATGGCTTTATGTATTTCTACTTGGTGTTTAAAGATGACTCACAAAAACTGTATTTATAGCTCAACTAACAGGTGTCTAGCCAAGCTCTGGCAGCATCATACTGAACCTCTGCTACTCATTAATTTTTTTATTTTTTACATACTTCTTTAGGTTTTTTTTCCTTTTCTTTTCCTTTTTTTTTTCTTTTTTTTAAAAGAGATGGGGGACTTTCCTTGCTGCCCAGACTGGAGTACAAGTAGTACAATCATGGCTCACTGCAGCCTGGAACTCCTGGGCTTAAGAGATACTCCCAGCTTAGCCTCTTGAGTAGCTGGGACTGCAAGTGTGTGCTACTATGCCTGGCTTCCGGTACTAATTTAATTCATGCATTTGTTTGCCCATTCATTTATTCCACGGATATTTGAGCACCCACTGTGTACCAAAGACTGTGCTGGATTCTAGGGATTCAGAGCTGAGTAAACAGACTTGCCATCACCGTGATAATAATGTGGCAGGAAAGAGAGGCATGTGATGAGCAATCTGTCTCTCTTTTGGTAAGGGGCAGTTCTCCTGTATATAATTGAGTTTTGTTCTGGTTTTATTCCATCCCAGTAGCATTGATGATGATGTCCTGCTCCATTACTAACCGTAGAGTTGAATCAAGGTTCTGATCCCTGGCCCTTTTCTCTGTATCAAAAAGGCAGTATCTACAGGGGCCAGACATGTAACCTGACTTTATCAGGCCAGCCGAGTGGCAGCAGGAATAGGATTGGTAGGCTCTGTAGGTTAGGGTGTTTTCTCTGAAGGGTGTAGCCACACTCCTCAGCTCTATTTGATTATTGCTCTGCACAGTGTGGGCCCAATAGCAATAATCCCTACCATTTTTCATGAAAAGCCTGGAATCTGGATTTTATGTAAAATCACCTGATTTTAAAATATTGCCTCAAATTTTTTGAAAATATTCTGCAAGCCAGAGCAACCTCAGCCATAGACTGCTGGTCTATGTGCTCTGTGTCACGTGCTCTGTGTCACGTGCCTTTCCGTCCATGGCCACCTGATCCCCTTATTCCTGACAGTATTGATGCGAATATAGGAGGACTGGTGCCCCTATAAGAATAAAGACAAAATACTTCCCAAATGTACCTTCTTTAGTAATATTCTGTAATTAGTAAACATGTTAAAGAAGTATCCATGGAATTCTATTTTATTAGTGTTTCTATAAGGATTAAAAGGATGATCAAAAGGATGACCTATTGTGCTCTTTTTTTGTCTGTGAATCTCATAGTGAATTGTTTGCTTATGTGCTTTATAATTTTGGATTGTGAACTCACCTTCATTGGAGTTTTTTTTTTTTTTGAGACGGAGTCTTGTTCTGTCGCCCAGGCAGGAGTGCAGTGGCCAGATCTCGGCTCACTGCAAGCTCTGCCTCCTGGGTTTATGCCATTCTCCTGCCTCAGCCTCCCGAGTAGCTGGGACTACAGGCGCCCCCCGCCTCGCCTGGCTAGTTTTTTGTATTTTTTAGTAGAGACGGGGTTTCACCGGGTTAGCCAGGATGGTCTCGATCTCCTGACCTCGTGATCCGCCCGTCTCGGCCTCCCAAAGTGCTGGGATTACAGGCTTGAGCCACCGCGCCCGGCCTTCATTGGAGTTTTATCTTGAGATTACTATGAGGCTATATTGAGGAAGAGTTGCTCTACAGTGATTTTGCATTTTATTTCTGTCAGGTACCCTAAAGGTTTTTTCTGCCCAGGGCCTCTTTCATGTTAATTTCATTGCTTACTTCTTGGATCATTTAGACAATATAAATTTGAATTGCACATTCAATGTGGGCATGCCTATTGGTTATTAATTTCCTAAAGAATTGTTTTTTCTTCTCATCAAAAGTGCTGGCCAAGGAGACAACTGTCTTTGTCTTTCTCGTTTGCCAGTGAGTGGGTTTGTTCTAACCTGCCTTTCTCTTAAGGAGTAGTCCTGTAAGGATCCCAGCTTTAAACAGAGGTCTCAGTTTCAGCTCCCTGCTTTCTGAGGGCCTAAGGCCTCATCTCCTGCATGGACATTAGGACTGAGCCCTTGACTCAGATGGAGGCAGACCACAGGGCTTATTAGCATCATCCCACATATGAAGAGTCTCACTTTTTCAATTCTAGCTGTTTTCGACACTTGAGGGTTTTTTCTTATGTTCTGGCGAGCTAAGCTATGCATTTGAAATGGTGTTAGTCATATTTTTTTTTCAGTGCTTCTAGATGTTTTATAATCAGAGAGTTCTCATAACGGTGTTGAAAACAGAAGTGTTGACCATTTCTTTATTGGCCTTTTAAAGCATTATAAGGCTTTAAAATACAAAGGGAGTTGAACCTTAGTTTAAAAATAATACAACTTTCTTATTTCTAAATGGAGTCATTTTCTGAACACATGCATATTCAGAAAGATGATCTTGCCATATCTAGGGTTAATCTTTAAAGATCTATATGCACTGATTTACCTAAGAGACAGCAATCAACCATCAGTGCTGGGTTTACATTAAGGAATAAAAGATTAATATATGAAAAGAACATTATTTATTGCCATAGTTTAATGAATTCTATAACTATACAATGGCGGCTTTTCTATGATAATAGACTTAGTGCTGCACATATTTTCTGAGGAATGGGAATAATATATATTTAGAAAAATAAGTATTTCTTGTTCTGTTAAGATTTACTTGCTTTTCCTCTGCTCTTTCAGTGAAAAGCTACTGAAGTATGACCACTACCTAGTGCCGTTCACTTTGTTTGAATTGGCATCTTTGTATAAAAGCCAGGGGGAAATTGACAAGGCCATAAAGTTCCTAGAAACTGCAAGGTAAGTGTTGAAGGCAGCTTTTCCTTGATCGTTATGGAGTCAGAGATATCAATATTGCTATAACAACAGCAGTAACATTATATACTTAAAAATTAATAATGTCAAATTAGTAATAATGCTACTTTTGCTAACATTTATGCTTATGGCTTTTGCTGTAATTGTGCTGTTTCCAACCCCCTTACTGCCTCACCCTGTGACTATTTACAGATATGATTATGGGCATCTATTTGAAAGATTTCTAACTTATTTTATTCTGTATCAGGGGTTGGCCAGCTTTTTGTGTAAATGGCTGGAGAGTAAATATTTTTAGATTTATAGCATAAAGTCTCCATTGCAACTACTCCATTATATCAAAAGAAGTCATAGAAGGTAAAATGTAAATAAATAGGTGTGTTTCGATTTGGCCCTTGGGTCCTTGTTTGCCAGCCTTCAGTGTATTCAGCCATACCTATTATTTCCTTGAAGAGCCATTGATCTTGTGAAGCTTGCACATCTTACCCAGACTCTCTCTTTTTTCTGTTTATCATGGCAGTTTCAAAGTATTTTTATCATTCTGGTAGGCAATAGCTCTTAGACCTATGGTCATGGATCACATAGGTAAGGCAAAAACCCTGTGGCCTGTTTGCCTTGAACACTTCCTGCAGTAGAGAAAGAATGCCAGACTAGCTCTAGGTCATAAACAGTGATTTGTCCTCAAATTCAGCAATTATTCACTGAGCACCTATTATGTGTCAGACACTAGTAAAGGCTTTAGAGAGACAACTATAAACCAAGCAGGCATTGTTTCTGCTCTGTTAGCTAGAGGGAGATATTAAATAGACAAGAAAAATATCAGGGCCTGGTGCGGTGGCTCACGCCTTTAATCCCAGCACTTTGAGAGGCCGAGGTGGGCAGATCACGAGGTCAGGAGATCGAGACCATCCTGGCTAACATGGTGAAACCCTGTCTCTACTAAAAATACAAAAAATTAGCCGGGCGTAGTGGCGGGCGCCTGTTGTCCCAGCTACTCAGGAGGCAGAGGCAGGAGAATGGCGTGAACCTGGGAGGCGGAGCTTGCAGTGAGTCAAGGTCACGCCATTGCACTCCAGCCTGGGCGACAGAGCGAGACTCCACCTCAAAAAGAAAAAGAAATCAGTGGTATATGTTTGCTGAGATTTGTAATATGATACATGGTGCTTGGGTGTTACTTCAGGATAGATTGATTCTGAAATATTTCCTTGAGGAAATGATATTGTAGCTGAGAGTTGCATAATTAAAGTCAGTCTTGAGCTCAGTCATTAGAAGTCAACCAAGTAGGTAGGGAGCACTCCTGACAGAAGTCACAGTTAATGAACATCACGTTGAGGAGGTTGAGCCACTGGGTCAGTGATGATGCTTTTTGCTGTGCTGGGGAATACTTAGAAGAGTATATTTGGGGAGAGAACAAAACATGCTTCTGTTCAGACCATGATTCTTTAAGATGGCTATTAGGTACTCATATTAGGTAGATAGCAAGTTGGCATTCATACTTAGCATGTAGTTCAGTGGTAAGGTCAGGGCTGAATGTAGAGATTTCAGTCAACAGCACAGAGATAGTGGTATTTAAAGTGATAGCACATGATGAAGTCATTTTGTGAATGTTATATAGCTAGAGAAAGAGGTCTGGGATATACCATCTTCTTAGACATTAAATAATAAGATTAAGAAGATTAAGAGAGTTAGGAAGACATCTAGGAAAACCAACCAAATAGTGTTTCAAAAAGAGGATGGTCAGTTATGAGGGCAGCAACTAAGAGCTCAAACAAGGTAAGACCAGAGAAGTGGCTGCTGAATTTGGCAGCATGAGGATCGTTGGTGACTTTGACAAGTGAGGTGACGAACAAAATGGAGTCAGCTACTTTAGGCAACTCTGTTAGGATGTTTGCTGTGAATAGAACATCGTAATGGGGCAAAAGCTTTAGGGGCATGGTAGAGCCAAGAAGGGCTTCCTTAAAATATGTATATATAGGTGATAGGAGAGCAAGTTGCTTTTAAAGTTAATTTGTTGGGCGTATGACCAATATTTCAGGTGTTAGATATAGATATCTTCAAATCCAGCTATTGGAAAATTATGGATTATAAATCCTGCTCTTCCAAATATTCATTATTTGAATATACAATGTACAATAAGGCAACTTCATAATGATAAAAATAAAAGACTAGTAACTCACTGCTATTTTATTTTATTTTATTTTATTTTATTTTATTTTTGAGACGGAGTCTTGCTCTGTTGCCCAGGCTGGAGTGCAGTGGCCGGATCTCGGCTCACTGCAAGCTCCGCCTCCCGGGTTCACGCCATTCTCCTGCCTCAGCCTCCCGAGTAGCTGGGACTACAGGCGCCCGCCACCTCGCCCTGCTAGTTTTTTTTGTATTTTTTAGTAGAGACGGGGTTTCTTTTTTTTTTTTTTTCTTTTTCTTTTTTTTTTTTTTTTTCTGGAGACGGAGTCTCGCTCTGTTGCCCAGGCTGGAGTGCAGTGGCCGGATCTTGGCTCACTGCAAGCTCCGTCTCCCGGGTTCACGCCATTCTCCTGCCTCAGCCTCCCGAGTAGCTGGGACTACAGGCGCCCGCCACCTCGCCTGGCTAGTTTTTTGTATTTTTTTAGTAGAGACGGGGTTTCACTGTGTTAGCCAGGATGGTCTCGATCTCCTGACCTCGTGATCCGCCCGTCTCGGCCTCCCAAAGTGCTGGGATTACAGGCTTGAGCCACCGCGCCCGGCGAGACGGGGTTTCACCGTGTTAGCCAGGATGGTCTCGATTTCCTGACCTCGTGATCCGCCCGTCTCGGCCTCCGAAAGTGCTGGGATTACAGGCTTGAGCCACTGCGCCCAGCTGTAACTCACTGCTAAAAAGCAATGAAAAGCCTCCACTAACTCAAGACAATACTGATGATTCAAACATAAAGATACTTGCCAGTAATTCCAAGACTGTCGTCTGTACTTTCCCTTTATGTATTAGGAGCTTTGCAAAGTTGCCCACATTGGTGGCCAGACATTTAGGAAAATACTCAATTCCATCCTTTGTAAACTCCAGTAAGATATTGATTTTAGTTTATGAATAATACATTTACTAACCCTCATCAAGATTACCAGTGAGTAACCCTTACACCTGTTCAAAATGAAGGGCTATAGAAATAAGTGCCACTGTGAAGAAAGCAGTTATAGCTCATCCATGGGCCAAGGCAGTATGTAAAAGGATTTCATTTTTCTGATTCTTAACAATTCTGGTAAAAGGAAGTCAACATAAATGCTCTTAGGCAGGTTTTAAATAATCTTTGGATTTCTATGTCCCCCTTTAAAGACATTGGCCTAATTATTATCTAATTATTGGCCAAACTATTGATATTTACATTTGAGAATTGGAATAAGTAATTTTGATGTCATTAAGTAATTCTGCTGCCTTTGTTGCAGTTGTTTCATTTCAGTTTCTTGAGTGATTGATCGTGTGATCATGCTAACCATGTTTATATGCATCTACCTTAAAATTTTCCAATTTAGGCCGGGCGCGGCGGCTCACGCCTGTAATCCCAGCACTTTGGGAGGCTGAGGCAGGCAGATCACGAGGTCAGGAGATCGAGACCATCGTGCCTAACACAGTGAAACCCTGTCTCTACTAAAAATACAAAAAAAATTAGCTGGGCATGGTGGCGGGCACCTGTAGTCCCAGCTACTCGGGAGGCTGGGGCAGGAGAATGGTGTGAACCCAGGAGGCGGAGCTTGCAGTGAGCCCAGATTGCGCCACTGCACTCCAGCCTGGGCGACAGAGCGATACTCCGTCTCAAAAAAAAAAAAAAAGAAAGAAAAGAAAAAAAAATTTTCCAATTTAAAAAAGGAAGTCTAATTATTTAGGACTAGTTCACAAAATTCATTCAGCCCTTCTCACAACCTTCTTGCTATGTTTATGAATGGTTTGGTAATTAAGCAGAACCTTGCTACTCAAAGTATGACCTTTAGATGACCACCAGGAAGCTTCTAGAAATGCAGATTATTGCAGTTCCCCCAAAACCCCCCAACAGAACCAGAATCTGTTACGCATATTAGAGTTTGAAAGTAAATAAGCAGATCACAGAGAGGAATGGGACAGTGGTGGTACCCTGGTATATAAATAAATTTTGACTATGCAATTTTATTGTTATTGTCTTCAGGAACAACTACAAAGATTACTCCTTGGAGTCCAGACTACACTTCAGAATTCAGGCAGCTCTTCACCTCTGGAGAAAACCTTCCTCAGACTGATCAGAACTTGAAGGATGGAATTTTCCCTCAATTAGCATCGGCAATCTGCTATAGATTCAACCTTATGTTAAAGTGGAAAAGTGATATTGTGAATAAGAGACAAAAAACTAATTTTATTGTCAATATTTTCTATCATCTGAGAGATTTGCTGTTGGTCTACATAATTTTTTTTCCTATGGAATGGCATTCTATATTATCTAGACAATTCTTATATTTTGCCTCCCCCAAAAGAATTTCATATTAGATTTGAATTGGGGGGTGAAGAAGTCTTTTGAAAGACTTGCAGATGCAATAGTCTAATTAGATTATTTATTTTTTTAATGTGAAAATTGATATTGTTTAGCAAATAGCTTATAAGTTGAGCCAATTTTAGATTTGTGGGTAGTTAAACTTTTGAGATATTTTGTTGCCTAGTATTTAAATTTCAGAAGATAAATAAATATCACTTACATTTAAAATAACTTAGCAGTGACCTTCAGAAGACGTCTGAAAAAGACAGTCTGAGAACATGAACACGGATGGGATGTAATGTACTTCGTGGGTTGAAGAGAGCCGTATCTATAAAGGATGATCCAGTATTCAGTTCATGGTTTTTTACTCTTCATTTGATTAAAGGTGGTGACATTTTGGAGAGACTGATTTTGAATGTACTTAAGTCTATTATAATAACAAAATTCAAAAACCCCTGTGTATCTAATGGGAAGAAAGTGTCATATTTTAGGAATTTTTCTTAACCTTAGCAATGAGAGCCTGAAATACATACATAGATTATTTTTCTTCTAGGAAGTAAAGTTCCTGCTGCTTTAAATGATATGTAAAATATCAATAATTTTTACACTTAAGATGTTGGTAAGACCTAGTTTTCTAACCTCTCCAGCACTGTGATGTTTCCTTGTAGATATCTGGACCTTGCTTAGTCCCTTAGTTGGGAAACAGAATCAGGGCATGGAGCAGAAAAGAACTGGACACCCCGAATGGTCCTGGTTCTGCTACCTGTTAGCGGTTAGTGAGGGGACCTTTGGGGAGTCTGCCGTGCCCTGTGTGTCACCATATTTTCTTCTTCTGTGAAATCTGTATTAAAGAACAGATGACTTTTCAAGGTCTCTTTCAGTTTTGTAACTGGGAGTCTATGTATTAGGTATTTATTTTCAACAAATGACTTTAAAATGTTGCATGCGAACCATTCCCACTTGGAGTGTTTTATTTTTCAGTCATCACCATTGTCCCCCACTCCCCACACGTATGTGTTGTGGCATCCAGAGTGAGGAAAGACAGTTCATGAGTCGATGAATCTGGGCCTTATTTCTGTTTCCATTTTGAGGAGTAACTTGTCACAGAAGCCTCTGCAGTTGAACAGAAGGAGCCACATATTGGGAGTCAGGAGTTCATCTCTGTGGGTTAATAGTTCCATGACACGGAGTAAGTAGCTCAGCTTTTCGTGGTTCAGTTGCCGCAGTGTGGATAGCGGCATAGTGTTTGGTACTTGTGAGGGCTTAATTAGATAAAACATGTGATAGCTTTTTGTTAACTGTAAAAGGCTATACAAAAGTATGAGTTATTATAATAATTATGGTTTTTTATGCCTGGATTACAGTATCGGCACAAAAGTATTGGCTGATACTGTGGTCTGTGTTGTAAAATGAAAGAGGCGTAGAAATTCAAATACTTTTCTGTGTATTCATGTGTTTGATGTTGACAGTAGGCTACCCAGGTTAGATGAACTTGCTCCTGCGGTTCCCTGCCACATGGACCTGTATCAAGTAGTTTCCCGGCCACATGGACATGTATCAACCAGTGTGTGGCTTGTTTTCTTCAAGGTACCAATTCTTGACTGACACTGAGGATGTGTATCCAATGAAAGATGATTAATAGAACTCAAGTCAGAGTACCACCCCTTCAGATACTATGGTGGTAGATATCAATGTGTTATTAATAATACAACTTTAGGTACAGACAAAATAGAAAATAAAATTGACTGTCATTATAATTAGTAGTGGAAAATACATTAAAAATTATTTGTGTATAGCTTTGGAAAAAGTTTATAAAGTTCTTAGAAGAGCTTTGGTAACATTATTTTTGAAAGCATACACCTACATTGTGACTGTGGGTATACTGAGCATATATTCTTACATTGTTACTGGGAGAAGCTGCAAGTCAGTGCTGCAAGTCAGTAAAAAAAATTCTCTTGGGTATAAAATGAAAGAATTTTAAGCTTAGAGTGGCCATTTTTATTTTAACTCTGCATTACTAAAAAATATAAAAGAAATTCATCTCCATATAAAAATCTTTTTTGTTATTTATATTTTGTTTTATTTTTATTTCCTATTCTTTATGGAGAGTATATCCAGTGGATCTTTTAGTACTGTAATATCAAAATGCTACAAATATTTGTGTTTCCTGCTATGTTCAAGATATTGTAGTGACACCAACTTCTTGTGGCATCAGCTAATACTGCATTTTGGAGTTATTAGGGTGTTCTGTGAAGAATGAATACTGAAGTGACAGTTTTATCTAGTTTTTTCAGGGGCATTTATGATGGGGTTGGGTTGCCCATTGTGTCTGACAGTGCAGTTCCTGTACTTCCTGGCATAATTGCCTTTTTTTTTCCCTTAATGGAGAGGCAGGGTTCTGATTGGTGCTGTATAAATTTAAGTAACATTGTGCTTTGTAGGAATGGTGATGAGGAAGGCATGATTTCCCCTTGACAATGAATGAAAGGTGAACTGCATCAGCTCTTATCTGGACATATATGTTAATGTTTTCTGTGCTCCTTGATACAAGAAGTTTCCAAGTTATATAGGAAAATTAAGTCCATTGATCCTGTCTTTGTCCTCAGAAGGCAGAGATGAGACAAGTGGATAAAAGCTGTAGGAAGCTGAATTCCAGATTAATCAGTGCCAAGGAAGATTTTTCATTATCGGAAAACCCAACAGTCTAAAATCAACGACCAGTTCTTCTGCAAAGGGGTGAGTTTAAGCAGGGCTAATGTGACTGCCATTTCTGCCTGTCCTAGAAGCTTAGACTAGTTGAACTTTGAGGTCATTCTATGATTCTTCTATTAGGGCTTCAAATCAGTATCGAGTGTGTGAAGAAAAAGTGCTCCCCCCACCATTTCAAATAAAAGTGAATGTTTTCTCTTTCAAAGCTACTATTAGAGGTAGTTGTGATAGATACTAACAATCCCTGGTGTTAATACTTATGATTCCACTCCTTTATTTTATTTTACTTTAATTTTAATTTTAATTTTATTTTATTTTGATGGAGTCTTGCTCTGTCACCCAGGCTGGAGTGCAGTGGCACAATCTCAGCTCACTGCAAACTCTGCCTCCCGAGTTCAGGCCATTCTCCTGCCCAGCCTGTAGCTTAGCTTAGCCAGGATGGCCTCGATCTCCTGACTTCATGATCCACTCCTTTTTAAAGTGAGTCTAGTCTGTCGATCTTCATAAATAGAAGGGTTTTTCCCCCAGCTTGGACATTAAAAATAATTTTTAAAAAGGTCTTTGTGGCCAACTGGAAAATCTTCTGGAATTATCTAATGCTTCATTCATTTCCCCCCCCCTGTATTTCTGCTTTTTTTTTTCTTCCTATTTATACTCTCCATACTTAGAAATCTGAAATTCAAATACATTTAGTTAAAACGAGTTAATGAAGACTCCAGTGATGTTTTAATACCCTAAGATTTTGTGATTCCTCGGGCCTGGAATGGATCTTAGAAAATTACCTCGTCCTCATGAGCCTGTAAGCCGTATTGTTTTCCCTCAGCCTTGCTCTGCCCAATACAGTAGCCCCTTGCCATCCGTGGCTGCGGAGCACCCGGAATGGCTTACAGCCCATGTGGGAATGGTGCTGAATGCTAACAGAGCATTCACTCATACGTGCTGCATTTCTTAAAGGCCTCCCAATAGCCTGCTTTCGGGAATTCTGGCTTTTACTTGCTGTCTACTATGATCACCTGATTTGTGCTTCACATACAAATCTGTGAAGTTTGCTTTTTCTATTTAAGTGCCCTTATACTTTCGTTTCATCATGTTTATCTGCAGATAATCAGTGTCATTGGCATATTTGAACATTATTCTGCCCTCCCTCCGCCAAACTCCTTATGTACTAGAATAAGAAATTTTATTTTTGAGATTATGATTTTAATTTGATTTTACAGACATTCTTTACTTTTTTACAAAGTACAGTTGTTAGAGTCATAGAAGAGTGATTCACAACTTTGAGAAGATAGATTTCATGATTAATATTTTTTTTTGGAGACAGAGTTTCGCTCTTGTTGCCCAGGCTGGAGTGCAATTGTGCGATCTCGGCTCACTGCAACCTCCGCCTTCTGGGTTCAAGCAATTCTCCTGCCCCAGCCTCCCAAGTAGCTGGGATTACAGGCATGTGCCACCATGCCCAGCTAATTTTGTATATTTAGTAGAGATGGCGTTTCTCCATGTTGGTCAGTCTGGTCTCGAATTCCCGACTTCAGGTGATCTGCCCGCCTCGGCCTCCCAAAGTGCTGGGATTACAGGTGTGAGCCATCGTGCCTGGCCCAATATTTTCTAAGATAAAATTATTCTGAGAAATCTAGTGAAACCTTTTCAATTGCTTTATTATTAATGTTTCAACATTGACTCTGTCAACTAGGCGAATATTACTATTTAAAGGTTTTTAGAGGCTGGCCATGGTGACTCATGCCTGTAATCCCAACACTTGGGAAGCCAAAGTGGGAGGATCACTTGGGACCAGGGGTTTGACGCCAACCTGGGCAATATAGTGAGACCCTGTCTTTACCAAAAGAAAAAAAAATTAGCTGTACATGATGGAGTACACTAGTAGTACTACCTACTGGGGAAACTTAGGTGGGATAATCACTTGAGCCCAGGAGTTTGAGGCTACAGTGAGCTAAGATCATGCCACTGCACTCCACCCCAGGTGACAGAGTGAGACCCTATCTCAAAAAGAAGAAAAAAGGAAAAAAAAAAAATATATATATATATATATAAAATAAAGGTTTGTAGATACATGTTACCCACTTAGAGAATAATTTATTTTTGAATGTGTATGATACCTAAGTGATATGCATATATATAATTAAGACATTTTTAATCTCTTTAGATATTTCTTCATAAGATACATGTATCTATAGATAGCTATATACAGAACAACTTACAAATAATAAATAGACATTGTTTCATACAGTTTTTTCCAAAGAAATGCAGGATTTTTCTCCAAATCCTCCCTCCCCGAGTCCCGTTACTTACATATTTTTGTCTTTAAGTGTTAGATTACTTGTTTCTGCTGCCTACTGTTGGTAGTTTTGTCTTTTATACATTTGCTGTTAGATTTAGTTACTTTGAAATGTTGAACTTGAAATGTAATGAAAAGGGCACATGAGAATTCATCATCAGGGAAGATATCTTTTATGTTGAGCAGTTGCTATCTGATCTTGACAGACTCTCCTCTTAGAGGACTGTTGAAGTCCATTCTAGTCATTTTGTAACTTAATAATTGCAGAAAGAAATGATGCAAGGACTGTTTAGTGGACTGAGATGGCTGAGCAGGTTGTTGGCCTGAATTATTGAGAGGAGATAGGTGGATCTAGCTTCAGAGGAAGTCTATGCCCCATTCCCTTCTGCATACAATGTACCCATGACATGTGTTTAGCATAGTAATACTGTAACAGGACATTGCATGGAGAAATCAAAGCAGCTGGCTTACTGTATTTAACTAAAAAGAATGCCTACAGATTGGATATTTAATAGGGAAAATCAGGGCACTTTAATAACAAATTTCATTATGTAAAACTTGTTGAATATTAACATACGATACACCTTGTATGTTAATGCCATAGTTTTTAGAAACACTAATTTAAACAACAAATTTAAGAGATGCTGGCATATCCCAGTGACACCTTCAGTTTTATTGCTGATTAATATTTTCTAGTAAATTAGTTTTAATTATTGGTAGTCTGTTGGGCACCATTTGGGAAAGAAATAAATTGGTCTCAGTGTAGCAGACTTATAGCCAAAAAATTTGAAAAAAGAATGAGTATAAGAAAGAATATTACTTATTTCATTTTTAAAGGAATTGTATTATTGTGAAGTGCTGCATGGTTGATATAGTTTGGTTGTGTGTCTACTCAAATCTCTTATTGAATTGTAGTTCCCATAATCCCCATGTGTCCTGGGAGGGACCCGGCGGCAGGTGACTGAATCATGGGAGCAGTTTCCCCCATGCTGTTCTCATGATAGTGAGTTCTCACAAGATTTGATGGTTTTATAAGGGGCTTTACCCCCTTTGCTCAGCACTTCTCTTTCCTACCACCCTGTGAAGAAGAAGGTGCCTTTCTTCTCCTTTGCCTTCCATCATTATTGTAAGTTTCCTGAGGCCTTCCCAGCCATGCAGAATTGTGAGTCAGTTATACCTCTTTTTTAAATAAACTATCCAGTCTCAGATATTTCTTCATAACAGTGTGAGAATGGACGAATACAATGGTCTTACTCAATTTGAAGGTATGACACTCTTTGCCTTGGAAATCATGTAGACATTTTAAGTCATTCCTATTTTTAATGTAGACAAACGTCCAGGTAGCAATTTTGGGGATAATAAATGAGTTCAGCTTTTTTTTTTTTTCCCTTGAGACAGAGTTCACTCTTGTTACCAAGGCTGGAGTTTAATGGCATGATCTTGGCTCACTGCAACCTCTGCTTCCTGGGTTCAAGCAATTCTCCTGTCTCAGCCTCCCAAGTAGCTGGGATTACAGGCATGTGCCACCACACCTGGCTAATTTTTGTATTTTTAGTAGAGACAGGGTTTCTCCATGTTGGTCAGGCTGGTCTCGAATTCCTGACCTCAGGTGATCCACCTGCCTCAGCCTCCCAAAGTGCTGGGATTACAGGCGTGAGCCATCACGCCTGGCCAAGTTCAGCTTTTATTCACATTTTTTCCCCAAAGTGATGTATTCTTGAAAGTAGACAGTTACTTTCTATAGAGTGATTTGTTTTTTCTTTAAGAAAATAATTTACATAAACAGAGATTATGGTAAACATTTTGAATCTTAGGCTGTTGGTTAAATTTAATGGCTTATGCACTCTTGAGTTCTCTTTATTAATATTTGCAGAAGGAGAACATATGTGTTTCACTGATATGTATGGTCCAGAAAAATTACTTAATTCTCAAAAATATGTTACATTGTCATATTGTGTTAGGGAATATTCCATAAGTAGTCTGTTTCTTTTTTTTTTCTTTTGCTGACTGTTGACATCCAAACACCTGAATGAAAACTGACTCATTTATGTATTGGTGTCTAAAAATATTGATTTGCAGATGTTCATAGAACACTTGCATTTTTTGATTCAAGTTGCTAAATCAAATGTAAAGGCAAATATGTATATTTAATAAGTGAGAAGTATTTTCTTATTACTGAAATTTATTCTCAAAGCAAATGTATTTTGTAGATGTTTCATTTGGGAGATTTTGCTTTGCCTTAAAACATACAAAATAAACCTGTCTTGTGGTCTGCCCACCTAAAAACCTCTGTTAACTTCACATGTAGAAGGAGTTCAGAATTCTTTGATAATATGTGGATTTCACTTTCATTTGTATTAAACAAAAATAAAATTAGAGGCCATAGCACTTTGTAAACGAATGTGAAGTTTCTCGTTGAATCATCAAAGCTACCTGTATGTACTTTATAATTTAATGTTCTGTTAGTAAAAATTGTCAGCATTTTATCTTTTTCTCTTCTCATTACATTTTAGTCTCCTATCTTTCCCATTCTCAGCGGTCACAGTTTTGCAGAGCAAAACATTTTTAGAAACTGAAGATGTGCGAGTTCTATATAAAATGAATGTGTTAGTAACATCCATCTGCTGATCAAGTAGGCATTGGATCTGGTACTAGAAAGTGAAATTGATTGTAGCTATCAAAGCATTTTATCAATGTAAGTCAAGAAAAAAGAAGAAAACTGTGAACCTCTGATATTTTTAACATAAGAACTGTTCCCAATGAGTATTCTCTTGCTGATTTTGTGTTAATGTTATCATCTTTGATTTTTAAGCTAATGCTAATATAAAATCTAAAATTTCAACATGATGACAACAGTTCCTGTAGCCCAGTTTTACCATTGGGACGTTTTTGAAAACAGATGTCTTCTTAGAAATTGTATTTTTAAGTGCAAATAAATCATCCCGACTTGAAAGTCAACACATTTTATTTTTCATTTCGTAGTAGTACAGAATACGCTGCATTTAGATACAGGTTTAATTTGCCAGATTTCCTCAGAATTCTATATTTTCATATTGCTACAACTGGTTTACTTAACATGCAATGGAATTGTTATTTAAATAAATTACGCTTGATGGAATTGCAGTCTTGTTCTGGTTGGTCTTCATGTGGAAGCAGTACACGACATCTGTTTTGCTGGTCTTTAATTGTCAATGTGATATGAACTTGAATTTTTGTTTCTTGGTAAGACTTTTTTTTTTTTTTTTTTTAAATCATAACATACAGGTATGAAGGCCCTTCTCTGCACCGAGTTCTTGGCCAAGTCCTGGGCATGAAGAGATAAATGGGATGGTACAGTTGTCTCAAGGAAGGATTACCTTTTCTGTCATCTTTTTGTAATTTATTTAATAGCTCAAAGATTAGCTGCTGACATGTTCAGTTTAAGGAGGAATCTTCAGCATTCAAGGTATAGCGCAGTGGAAGAAGTAGTAGCCTCTGGGAATCAGGAGATCTATATTTGAGGCTGGCTTTGGCTAGATTGTGGCCTATGTTCCCCCTCCCTAGCCATTAACTTCTCTGAACTTTGCCTAATGCAGCTGTAAAATGGGGACCATTCCACTACCTAATTCAGCTCTAAGGAGGATCAGAGGAGGGAGTATGCAAGACCACAAAGGGCTAATCCAACATTAAATTCTTCCCCTCCTCCCCTATGTGAGTTCGGGCGATGTCCGTCACAAACCAGTCGTTTCTGTCAGTGGTTGGGTTTTCATGACGTGATTCAATAATCGAGGTTCTTTCAGTCTTGTGGCTCTGCTGTCTTCACACATCTGCTAAGGTCACTGTGGTCTTTTGCATCAAGCTATTGAAGGAGACAAAGCATGGAGGGGTGTGTGAGGAAGGTGGTACATATCTGTTTAAGTTCCATTAGCTAGAACTCAGTCACTGCTTTACCTCATGACAAAATAGGCAGAGAAATGTAGTCTAGCCATGGGCTCAGAAAAAAGAGGCAATGCGTATGGTGAACAGGTAGCTTGTCTCTGCCACATTCCCACTTGGGCTGGGTCCACTATGATTCTCCCAGTGTGTCCCATGCTTTCCTGCTTGTCTTTCCTTTGTTCTTTGGCATGAGGAGCTTGATAGATTTATGAATGCATCAGTTACAACTTGGTGTAATCAACTTGAGCTTGTTTAAAAACAAAAACTTGAACAGCCATCTAGTAATGGATAAAGGGTGCCTGTGGAATTCAAGGGCAAGAATGTGGGAAATACTCAGGAAGTATTTAAATTCAGAATAGAAAAGCTTTGGAGACTTGAAGAGTATTTCTTCTGTCTCTCCTGTGCTTCCTGAAGAGACTTGATGGGAGGAATATATCCACAACAGCAAAGGCTTATCTTCCTCTCATGCTCCATCATCTATTTCAGGCCAGTGAGAGACCAGCTCCACATTATCCTCACACAGGGCCCTGGATTGCCAGAGACTCCACTATCTGGAATGGAAAGAGGAAGGAGGCATGGTGTATATAAAATGGTCTTGTTGTAGGACTTTCTCCTTAGTTCTGTTAAAAGCTGGGTTCTTGTTACACTACCCTGAAAGATTAGGCTCGCAGACACTTTGAAGGGTGAGATGGCAGGGTTTATTAGGTGAAAAGGTTAAAAAAAAAAAAAAGGGAAACAGGTACTCTAAGCAAAGCAAGAGTCCTGCTAGTAGGCTTCCCTCCTCTCAGATTGAATCCCACATTCTACCCTGGAACAGGAGAGGCCAGGCTCCTCCCCACTGCAAATGGCCTGAACTTCCTGAGGCTTCACCCCAGTGCATACTCCTCCCAGTGTCCAGGCTGGTTAGAGGTTCTCCAGTGACCCCTTTTTACTGGCTGTCTTAGTCTTACAGCTTCCACCTAGAAGTGACACATATTTCATGTCCAAAGCAAATCACACAGCTTTACTTAACTTCAACTGTGCAGGAAAGTACAATCCTAATGTGTCTGGAAGAATAACCAGAAGTAGATGGTGAATAGCACAAATGACTATCTTTCTGGTTGCCAGATATCTGATTCACTCTTTTTCCTGCAAACAAAATACACTCACTTCTGCACCAAGGAATATAACAACAACAACAAAAAATTCCTTCTGGGGCTGTGCGCAGTGGCTCACGCCCGTAATCCCAGTGCTTTGGGAGGCTGAGGTGGGCAGATTGCCTGAGGTCAGCAGTTCGAGACCAGCCTGGCCAACGTGGTGAAATGCTGTCTCTACTAAAAATACAAAAATTCGCTGGGCACCTGGTTTCAGGCACCTGTAATCCTAGCTACTCGGGAAGCTGAGGCAGGAGAATCGCTTGAACCCAGGAGGCAGAGGTTGCAGTGAGCCAAGATCGCACCATTGCACTCCAGCCTGGGCGACAGTGAGACTCCGTCTCGGGGGGGAAACAAAATCTCTTCTGGTTGTGACATCTCTGTGACATGCCCTCTTGTCTTATTTTGAATCCAAATGTGGCTGCAATTGATCTGGACACCGTGAACTAATCAGTTATTTGCCCTCAACACACAATGTACTGGTTTCTGTGGTTTGAATGTGCCCCCCAAAACTCACTGAAATTTCATTGCCATAGTGATGGTATTAAAAGGTAGGAGTGTAAAGAGGGCCCATCCTCATGAATGGATTAATGTTATCTTGGGAGAGGGTTTGGTATTGCAGGAGTGGGTTTTTGTGAAAGCAAGTCTGGCCCTCTCTTGCTCTCTTACTTTCTTGCTTTCTTGTACTCTCTTGCCCTTTTGCCTTCCACTTTGGGATGACACAGCATGAAGGCTCTTGCCAGATGTGGGCCCCTTGACCTTGGACTTCCCAGCCTCCAGGACTAAGAAATAAATTTGTAAATTACCCAGTAGGTGGCATTCCATTATGGCAACACAGAATGAACACTGGTTGAACAGAAGTGGGATAACCACAATGAACACTCCCACTTAGAAGGTGAAAAGTGAAGCCTGGGAAGCCACAGTGAGCACTGGTCTGTAGCGATTCTGAAATCTCATGTTTTGAGCTTCCATAGCTTGAGAATAGAGAATGTTCTTTGATTGGGCCTTGAGCCCATTTCCTGGAGTAGTGCTCTTGTTCATTAGTCTCTGTGGTATCTGGGTTCACCTTCTGAGAGATTTTTTTTCTTCTGTAATTTTTCTTGGCCGTATCTGAAGAGACTGTCAAAGAAATTGCCCTCCCCAGGAGCGGAACAATTTTTCTCAACTTTTCCTGCCTCACACAGGGGCCAAAGGATCATTTTAAGTTTCAAAAAGTCAGCATTTTTCAGTGCAGGTGGTTCTCCAGTAGTACAATTCTCTAAAAAATTTATTCTATTTGATACAGTGTCATACGCCAAATAACCACACCACAGTATGTCTAAGACATTACTCATTCCTGTTGCCTTAATTAATGAAACTTAATATTAACTTGAGCCAATACCATCTCTGGACTGATTTCTGTATTAATTAGAATGGGCTAGGATATGCCACAGTAACAAACAGCCCCACACGTCTCAGTGGCTTAAAATAAGTTTTTTTCTTGCTCACACTACATGTGCATTTTTGGTCAGTAGAGAACCTTGTTCTGCACTGTGGAGGCCATTGGATCCTCACCATGTAGAATTAAACTCATTGCCATGGCAAAGAGAAGTTTGGCAAAATAATTCCTTTATTGAGGTGTAATTTAAATACCATTACATTTACTCCTTTTAAAATACAGGTCTACATAAAATGTGTACTTTTGTGCAGCCATCACCATAATCCAGTTTTAGAACGCACCTATCACCTCAAAAAGTTCCCTCTTTTTGTCAATCCCTAAACTCAACCTCCTAGGCTCAGGCAAACACTGACCTATTTACAGCTATAATTTTGCCTTTAATACAAAATTTACTTTGTATTAAAATACAAAATAATGAGTGTTATCTCATTGTGGTTTTTGATTTGTATTTTTCTTTTTTCTTTTCTTTCTTTCTTTTTTTTTTTTTTGAGATGGAGTCTCACTCTGTCACCCAGGCTGGAATGCAGTGATGTGATCTCAGCTCACTGCAACCTCTGCCTCCTGGGTTCAAGCAATTCTCCTGCCTCAGCCTTCCAAGTAGCTGGAATTCAGGCATGTGCCACCATGCCCAGCTAATTTTTGTATTTTTAGTAGAGACAGGGTTTCATCATGTTGGCCAGGCTGGTATCAAACTCCTCACCTCAGGTGACCCACCCATCTCAGCCTCCCAAAGTGCTGGGATTACAGGCATGAGCCATCACTCTGGCCTGATTTGTATTTTTCTAATGACTAATGATATTGAGCATTTTTCACATACTTTTTGACCATTTATATATTTTATTTGGAGAGAAAAAGCTATTCAAAGCTTTTGTCCATTTTAAAATTTGGTTTTCTTACTAGATCTTTATCAGATATGTGATTTGCAAATATTTTGCTCTGTGATTTGTCTTTTCATTTTTTTGATAGTGTCCTTTGACAAAAGTTTTAAATTTTTGTGAGGTCCAATTTATCTGCTTTTGTTTTTGTTTTTGTTTTTTTGGTTGCTCGTGATTTTAGTATCATACCTAAAAATCCATTGCCTAATCCAAGGTCATATAGATTATACTTAGTTTTCTTCTAAGAGTTGTATAGTTTAACTCTTAAGTTTGGGTTCTTGATCCAGTTTGAGGTAATTTGAGCATATGATATGAGGTAGAGGTTCAACTTCATTCTTTTGCATGTGGATATACTGTTGTCCCATCACCATTTGTTGAAAATCATATTGACTTTTAAAGCTTCCGTCCATAATTTTCACATGGATCATTTCCATTCATATTTCATTGGTCTAAGCAAGTCATGTGGTTATGCCCAGATTCAAGGGGACAGGAGGTACAATTCTACCATACCTATCCATGGTTCTGAGTTCGCATATGTGACTCTCTTTCTCAGTACAGGTTCCAAGTCCTCATAGGGGGAGTTTTTATTGGCCTAGCTTGGGAGAGGTGTGGTGACCCTCCCTTCAAACAATTGTGACTAAGAGAACAGGGTCATTTGGAACAAACATGGCTGCTGGAAGTTTACCCTATGGCTGGTGAGTGAGACAGTTAAGGGTAAGTGGTCATTATAACCCAGATAAGTTACCCCTGGGTAATATCATC